TCCAGAGGGAAAAGGCCAGGACTCTGGGCACTGTTTTGCAGGAAAGTGAAATCCCTCCCTCATTATCCCATCACGCTAACAGTTAACCAGGGAGGGCAGTGCCAGGGGCCTGTCTGGAACCCCTGCCCGCCCCTCCCACCCCCATGAAATCATTCTTTGTCCCAGCTCTGGCTTTTTCCCTCCCTCCCCCTACCTTCATGCTGCCTGAATCATTTATCCCCCAGGGCCTGGTTTCTGTGGGCAATGCTGTAACATCCTGCCCCGTCCCTGCCAGGGAGCCCACGTGCTACCCCGCCAGGTACAGCTCCCCACCTTTTAATAGGAACCTTCGGGAGACAAGGCCTTAGGCCACAGAAAGGTTGCCTAATGGTGAGAATTTCTGTGATCCTGGCAGGAAAGGAAAGGGCCCTTAATGAAGAACGGAATTTCTACTACCTCCCAGATCAAACTCCAGGGTGCCCTGCCTCGCACATCAGACTGGGGGGGCGCGGCGCTGAGAGCAGTGCTTGTGCCCTCCCCCTGCCGCACCCCTCCTCCCCACCCCCGCTGCCCTGTAGTTTGTTCCTTAGCTCACTGCAGGCAGATTGCAAATCAGGGGTAGCTGGCTTCACTGCCCCACTGTAGTGGTTCACACAGGGGTGAGGTCCACAGTCAGGCCCCAGGGGGGTGGTGTGCTGGGAGGAGGAGCAAGGCCAGGGAGGAGGCTCCAACCTGTTACTCAGGGACCAGCTGGGTCCGGAGTGGGTGGGGAGGAGGAAGTGAGTCAGTGGGCACAGCGATTCATGCCTCAGAACTCCGACTTTCCTTTTCAACCCACTGAGCCAAGACATTTGTCCCAACAGGATCTAGGCTTGGGGAGGGGACAGGGGCAAGAGGCTATTTATGAGACAGAGTTGGCCTCCCACTCACCTCTCCTGGGTTCTCTGTTTTAGGGCCATGAAGTGTATGTGGCCAATTGAATTCAGCTGGACATGCAGTGGTTGGAGACCTCCTGTGTCTGAGGGACTGTCATGGCCGCTGGAAACTCGGGTGTTGTCAACAGTGAGCACAAGTACCATGTCGTGAGCGACTTCTTGGCCCCAGTTCTGCTATTTTCCCACAAACCTGTGAGTCTGGTATCTATAATCACACTGCAAGCCTAGACTAGAATTCATTGGATGGGCTGGAAGATTCGAGAGTGACTGCAGGTCACCCCCACCGTTCCCCCCCCCATTGCCCCACAAGCACTAGCCCTAAAATGCAATGTGGTGCAGGTTTAGGTTGTTTACATTTGAGAGCTCTCCGAATGTGGGGTCAGGATGAAAGCTCGGCCTCCCCCAAAGATGCCCTGCTTCATCTTTGACACCCCTGAGGGTTCTCAGCTCTGGGCCGGTACCTAGTAGGGTGTCAGTGAATGTTGGAAGCTGATAGATTCTGAGCCAGGGACGGGGCGCCTGCCTGAACGTATCTAGGTCACAGGAGAAAGGAAATCTGATAAACCCATTCATGCTTCATTGCTCCTCCCTCCCTCCTCAGTAATTTGCATTTTCAACTCAGATCAGAGATAGAGACCTGAGTCTTAATTCAATAGCAAAGATTTGGTCCACTTAGTTCAACAAATCTTAGGAGCCTTGGGATACACAAGATGCCGGCTGGGAAATAAGGAGACATCTCCTCCAGCCCTTTCATTGCACAGATGGGGAAATCGGGGCTTGGGGGAGTAAAGTAACTTGCCCAAGGTGAGAGGGCTGAAGAGAGCCCGCACTCAACACACAAGGCACCTCAATTCTGCTCCATCTCTCTCTCCTCCAGCTGCCCATGCACAACCTGTCTGCACTCCGACCTTCCTGTGAGGAGTGAGTGAGCAAGCAGTGTGGTCTGGGGCTCTGAGAGAGGGAGATGAAGGGGGGTCCCCCAGAGGAAGGCTAATGCAAACCCAGCAAGTGCTGAATAAACCAAGGCACCTTTACAGAATCTTGACGTTGTCATTGTGGTGACTGAGAAAACTTCACCCCAAACCAGGCCCTAGTAACTCTTCTGCTTTCTTCTCTCCCGAGGCTCCGTCCTGCTACTCCTTCCCTTCTCCCTTATCCATATATTTCTCCTCCAAGAAGCCTCCCTGCCTCCACAGCAGAACCCGTAGTTGACTTGTTTTCACCAACCCTCGCAGAAGCAGACAGACCCCACCCAAGATTTTGCTTGATGTCAAGACTGATGATGCCACACACAGGCCAAGAGGGTATTAAAAAGTTTATTATTTACATAATTGAGGTCTCTGGGGAGAGCAGGGCTGGCCTGTTGAGCAAGGTCTGAAATGGCCTGAGAAAGCAAGGAGAGGAGATGGCCTTATTGTGGTTAGGGACTGAGATCAAGGTGAGCATTTGTGCGGGAAAGAGGTTCAAATCCCCCATGGCCACCAAAGAAGGGAACATGGCCCCCAGGCTTTGTTATCAGCTTGTCCAGCTGTGGGGCAAAGGGGGAGAAGTGGGGCTTACAAGCTGTCAGCTGTCAAACATCAAAAAAAAGGACTCTGATTCCTTTTCACATGTGTTATTCATGTGCCCTTGTTTCTCTCTGTCTACTTTTCCAGGTGGGGCCCTTCTCCACGGAGAAGAGTTGATATGACAAAGTCAGCTGAGGGATGAGATCAGGCTGTGGATGATATATCACTGGAACCAGGGGACTTCAGACCATCATCATGAACTTGAAGTTTCTCTTTCTGCATCTCTCCAGCTCAGAGACCCTTCCAGTGCCCACGTCTCCCTCCATCCCCATGCCGTCTCCCCCAGATCTCTCTGACACTCCCCCACATTCCTTCACTCGAGCCCTCCGCCGCTCTCAGACACCCTGCTCCCACATTCCCTCAGGATACTCCCCTGGAGTGGAAAAACCATCCCTCATCCTTTTCCGGCTCCCAGCCCTGGGATCGGACATACTGGTCATTCCTGTTTGGGATGGCCAAAGAGATAATGCCTGGCATAGGGCCCATCTGCCATCACAGGATTCTCAAAGCCGTTTCAGGTGGGACTCCTTGCCCACACAGAGCATCCACCCTGGCCCCCGCCCTCCTGGCCCCAGCTGTCTCCTCTTCTCCAGGAATAAGGTGGAGGACCCAGCAACCAGCCCAGAGGAGAACAGGGTAACTGGTCAACTTCCATACAGGTCAGCTTTCTGTTCCTTGCGCCCAGATGTCTCCCAACACTGCAGGCCATGGGCCACAAGGCAGACCACGGGGAGGGGCTGGGTGGCTCTGGGAGTCCCAGCTTGGGAACAAATGCTATCCTAAGGGCGGACAGGGATGAGCACCGCAGAGAATGCTGTTATTGCAGTTGCTTTTGTTCAGATGCATCTGGCTGTCTGACCAACACTTGCCTGGGACTCGTCTCTTACAGATGCAGCTGTGGTGAGTAGCTTCCAGTCCTAGCTCTGCCCCTCTGCAAGCTGTCTGACCTTGGACATCCAGGTTTCCTCCTAAGTCAAATGAGGATGATAATCCTAACCTCACAGGGAGGACAGGAGGATGAAATAAGAGTCTGCACGTGAAATGATTCATTGACTATAACGTTCAAGTCCCCTTCCAGGCTCTCAATCTAATTTTGTACTCTGACTCTTTCTTCCTTTCCTTAGGGAGGGTGTCAAATTGTACAAACTTCAGGCCCCCCCAAGCCTAGACCTGCCCTGAGTATCGTACAAATGTTAATGATTTGCATAAGAGGTCAAGAAGGACTCCGAGGTCAGATAATACAGGACTAAAATCTAAGCTGTGTGGTCTTCACCAAGTTGCTTAACCTCTCTGAACCTCAGGTTTCTCATCTTAAAGCAGATGACCCTCAAAGATTGTTGTGAAGATTTAATCTAATAATCTTTTAAAGCACTTAGCATAGTTCCTGCTGCATGAGCACTTTTTTTTTTTTTTGGAGCACTTTCTACATAGTTGTTTTTTATTATTATAAACTTTCAGAGACAGGGACTCTAAATCAAACTGCAAGAGAGTGAGGGCTGAAGGCTGAATTTCTGGGCCAAAAGAAGAAAGTTCCTTCAGCCTGAAGAAAAGAATATTCAGGGGAAGTGGGTCTTTGTGCTGCACTATGAGAAATCCGAGTTCGATTCAAGAAAGTACATAGTGACCTCTTGAAGTTCCCTTTCAGTTAGGTTCTTCTGAGGATGACGGGACCTTTGGGCCCCGCCCACTTACCTCCACCTGGCGCCACACACTACACACCTATGGAGGCTGGCGTCCCCGCCCGGTCTCCAAACACTCAGGCTGAGCCTGGGTAGGAGGAGGAGAAGACTTTTGGGAATCTGTGGGGCAGGGCCCTGAAGGCAGGAGTGTATGAGATATGGGTACAGTGTGGGCCCAGCTCCCTGGCCACACAGTGCATTCTAAGGAGAAGGGACTCATTTCCACTCCGAAGGGTTTATAAGGCATACCAGAAGGCGGAGCCCTTTGGGGGAAGCGCTGTCTTGTCGCTTATCACAATTAGCAATTCTTGGGTAGTACCATTGAATAAATAAATATCTGTCCGGCTTTGCTGAGGGACCATATCCAGCCTGGATCAGGGTGGGTGGGGGCGGGTGGGCAAGAGAAACACATCTCGACAAGGACAGCGAAGGGCCTGGGTGCGAGGAAGAACGCCCAGAGACCGCCAACCGCCTCTCAGGGACTCCCAGCGCTGCGGAGGCGATGCCGGCATTCCACCCAGAGGCGCGCGGACGCCTCTTCCCAGATGCGCCACCGCCGGGGCTCTCCAGCGGGCCCGCAGAGGTGGCCGCGCCTGCAACGGCCTTTCCAGCCGCAGTAGCAGCCGGACTAATCCCACCCCCGGCCCCGCCCGTCCAATCCATCTTGCTCGGGAGGTGACGCTTCCTGGGAGAAGCAAGGGGCGGAGAGGGGAAATCCAAGCTTTTGGGGGCTCCCGGCAGGTGTTTGGGGGAGAGGGCGGAGCCTGGTTAGGGAGGATGAGGAGGGAGGGGCCGTGCTGCCCCTTTAAGAGGCGGTGGCGGAGCCGAGACCTTTTCTCTTTCCCCGGAAGGAAAGCGGAGCCCGGGCTGGGCGCGCAAGGTGGGGAGGTGCGGGCTTGGGCGTGGGGAGGCGGGGCGCGCGCGGAGGGGACCGCTCCCTCCAGTCTTCCTTGCGGTCGACGGCTCTGCGTTCCCAGATCCGCCGCCGAGCCGGGATCGAAGGCTACAGTGCGGCCGAGGGGGCGCGGCCGGGACGAGCTGGGGGCAGGGTGCCCGGGGCGGGGGGCGGTGACCCGCCGGCCGGGCGGGCGGGAGAGTAGACCCGCGAACCTCGGAGAGGAATCTGAGAGCGCAGACCCTGAGCGGACGTGAAACTGACCGGGGCTGGGGGTCAGAAACTTCTCAGCGCTGCCGGGCTCAGCGACGCAGCCCGCCCCAGTGTTCTCCGGTGGCGCGGGGAGCAGGTGAACCGGTCCTCACTCCCGGCTCCACGCCCTCACGCGCTCTCGCCCCGGCCCCCGCCCCCGCAGCCATGGGCCCCGGCCCCCGCCGCGCCGCCTGCGTCCCGCGCCCGATGCTCTGCGCGCTCGCCTTGATGGTAGCCGCCGGCAGCAGCGTCGCCTCCGCCTTCAACCTGGACACCCGATTCCTGGTGGTGAAGGAGGCCAGGAACCCGGGCAGCCTCTTCGGCTACTCGGTCGCCCTCCATCGGCAGACGGAGCGGCAGCAGCGCTACCTGTAAGTGAGGCCGGCGGGGGTGGCGGGGGTGGGGGGAGAGTGTGTGTGCAGGTTGCGGGTCCATCCAGAGCCGAGTCGCAGCCTGGCTTCCAGGCCCGCGGGCGGCGGGCTGTAGTGAACGGGGATTAAGGGGGCGGGGGGTACGTGGGCAGCCCTGCCCTGCCCAGGTCTGGCGGGAAGTGGAGGAATTGGGTGTGGGATGGGGTCAGCAATCACTGGCAAGTGCTGACCCGGCCAGAACCTGTCTAAACTCAGCCCCTCAGCCCTTTAAACCTCTCTTGAAAGTAGAAGTGGGATCCCCGTTTCCTGAGCCTCCTCCCACTCTGTCGACCGTAACTAATGTACGAATACTTCTCTCCAGGGCTGGGACCTGGGAAAAACTGCAAGGTGAACACCCAGTGGATCCCTCTTCCCGATTTCCTGGGAAGAACCTGTGGGCATATGTATTTAAGCGCACCCGGGCCTTTGCACCTCGCGTTTAGTCAGCCGGCCCTGCCAGCCACACCCTCTGCAGAGCCAGACTGGAGGGCCTTTGCCGCTGCTTGGTGCTTGGTGTTTGGCTGTTGCAGGGTGAGGTGATGCCTGAGTCTAGCCATTTGGAACTGTCCAGGAGCTCCCTCTGACCCCTAGAGGATGGGGAAGTAGAGGGAGCTGTCCCAACTCCTCCTTGGTCTCCTGCCCCCCACCTCACCCCCAGCAGGGACGCCCTGCCACCAGACATCTTCCCTGCATTCCACAGATTCATGTTGAATCTTCAACCCTGAGTGTGTTTGTTTTGGTTTGAAGAGTGAAATGGTGTTTTTCTCTTCTGTTCCCTTTCCCCGACAGCTGTAAGGGGAAGGAGGGGAAGAGCTACCCACAGGGGAGAGGAGCGAAGGAGATTGCATCCAGCTGTCCATGTCACCCCCCCACCCCCCCCACCCCCCACTGCCACCGACATACTTCTGCCTAGAGGGGCAAGTCTAGGTTTCAGAAGCTTTTCTGCCCTGGGCTCCGGTGCTCAGGTTGGCAGCTGGGGGAGGGGAGGCTATCCCAGGAGGGAAGGAGTTAGGACAGGTCAGGCAGGTCCCACCTACCTCTTTGGGTCAGGGGACCTACCAGACATCTACCCCTACCTGGTGTCTAACTCCGCTGAGCAAGAGGATGTGGTCTGATACAGGGTGTATTGAAACCTTTCCCAGCTCTGGCTGGTGCCTGCAGAAACTTGAGGAACCTTGGAATGTCCAAAGTTCAAACTCTGCCCCAGCCTTGGCCTCTGCCCTGCTGGCCCAGCCCCTGTGCAATCTACCTACCTACTCGGCCTCTGTCTACGTTCTGCAGAGGCTAAAGCCACCACACCCTTCCCAGCTCAGTGCCCACAAGTGCGGGCTGCCCTCGGCCAGCCCTTCATCCTTCGGAGACCCTAAAAGTGACCATCAGCACAAGTTTTTATATTGGTGCTCTTTCTGCCCCAGCCCAGAAAAAGAGTTTTAGAATTTCTTTTTTTTCCCCAAGATTTTATTTACTTATTTGAGAGAGAGAGAGAGAGAGAACAAGTGCTCACGAGCAGGGGGAGGGGCAGAGGGAGAAGCAGATTCCCCGCTGAGCAGGGAGCCTGGCGTGGGGCTCGATCCCAGGACCCCAGGATCATGACCTGAGCCAAAGACAGACGCTTAACTGACTGAGCCACCCGGGTGCCCCAGATTTTTTAGACTTTCAATACTGAATCTGCATGACATGAGGGAACGCAGTGTAAAAAGATCAGGAAAGCGAGAGTAAATAATGAAAAGCTGGAGTAGATAATGGACTCTGTAAACCCCACCCCCCACCCCCCTACCCGCTATGTGATCTTGAGCAAGATATTTCCCTTCTCTGGGCCAGTTTTCTGCAAAGAGGGGTTGGACCTGGATCTATATCCTCCTTCCTGCCTCTGTTGGCCTCTAAGAGGCAACCTGGCACTGGGGAGGGAGAAGAGGCGCCAGAGTCCCCCTGCCCGTTTCCAGTCTTGGATCTGTCACTAATATCTGAGTCTTAATGTCTCCACGGGGCAGGAGGGTGGGGGGGGGACAACATACCTTCTTCATGAGCTGCCAGTGGGGTTCCAGTGTGTGTAAGCCGCTCTGCACGTGCCTGCATCTCAGGGGAGAAGTTTAGGGCTCTTGTGCCAAAGCCAGGCCAGTATTACCCATGGGCCTCACCCAAGATGGCTGAGCAGAGGGGCTCTACTTTTCTTCCCGGGCGGCTAGAGATGGCATTACGCCTGCTAAGAGCCCAGAAGGTTCTAAAACTCATGAACCGTGGAGAGGCAGGTAGTTCTAGATGGAGTTCTGGGCCATTCTCTCAGGTACCTGTCTTTCCCCAGGGGTGGTTGTCCATCTTGGCTCATCTCCTCCTCTCACTGAATTCTGCCCCTTGGCCCTTTGGGAGGGCCAGCTGGGCCAGCTGTGTAGCCAGATGTGAACAGCTGCCTGAGTGCACAGCTTAGGGGAACCAACAAGTCAGGTCTTATTTTCTGTTAGCCTACAAGCCCTTTTGGAAAAGAGGAGAGGTTTCCCAATCCTGAACAAACTCTTAGCCTGGGGTTCCTAGAAGGTCTGCAGGAGATGCAGGGGGCTCCTGCAAATACATGAAAATCATGCGTCTGGGGGCAGGGGGAGGGGAAGAGCATGGCGTTCGTCCTATTCTCAAAGAAGGACTTATTCTAGAAATGGTTAAAAACCCAAGTGTGGGCCCTCTTCGTTCCCCATTGTCTTTATCTCTGGACCAGAGTTAGGGAACTCCCACAACATCAGAGTTCACCCCAACCCAGGCCCCGGCTTCCCAGTCGCCAGAAGTGAGGGGTGAGGAGCAGGGCCAAGGACCAAGGTGCTTTGGGCTTCTGGGTGAGATGCGTGACAAGCCCTGGGGAAGCAGAGAGACTATTCCTCTGGGAGCTGGTCCCTGCCCCCCAGCCCTCAGCACCTGCCCTGTCGCTCCCTCCTGGGACTCCAGTTGTCCTGGTCTGGCCTGACCTTGTGGGCTATGGAAGATACCTCTGGGGCTCTCTTTCTCCCCTTTGCCCTTGTGTGGAATTGAGGGTGTCTGCGGAGCCTGGGGTGGGGGTGGATGTGGCTCCTGGCCGATGAGGTCATATCTGAGGTAGGTAGGAGCGGGGCTTACCTGCCGTTCTCTCCTAAAACATGTTTCCCTGGGCAGGGGTAGGCACCTGGCAGCCTCTTTCTCGTGCCAGAGGAAATGGGCAGAACAGCTGTGGCTGCAGGCAGAAGGCCTGCACACGGAGCGCCCCGTTCCTCTGGCTCTCTCCAGTGACCAGCCCAGGCCAAGGAGCTTTAAATTGGGCAGGAGGCAGGGGAAGCCTGATCTTGTAGAAAAAGAAGTGGAAGGGGGTTGGCCAGAGCTGAACAAAGGAGGAAGAAGATGTCTGTTGCAGCACAAGGGATGGAGGGTAGATGATACGGCGAACACCCCAAGGGATCAAATATGGAAAAGATACTAAGGAGCCAGCAAGAGGGAGAAGAAATGAGAAAAACAGCCTTGTTTGGGGCCAAGGCCTCTTTCTCCAGTCCTCTCTCATTCTCTTGCTTCCTCCAGCCTGTTGCTCTGGTTCTAGGGCTGAGTCACCAGAGGGGAGAGGGGGCTGGGTGGGCAGCGTCAGGGCGACGTAGGGGGAGGATGGAGAGGCCTGCGAGTCCGCTACCACGGGAGTGGGAGCCTCTGGGGAGATGGCTAATTCGGGCAGCAGGATGGGCACAGAGCTGGGATCCAGCATCTGAGAGCTGCCCCTCCCACACCCCTGGTCTCAGAGCTGAAGCAGCGCCCGGCGCCACCGGCCTCCCAACCTGAAGTGGCAGGGAACCCTGAGGAGTGAGGCATGGGGGCCTGTGGTCTGAGTGCTGGCCCCTGTTACCCTCCAGGTTAACTGGAAGCTTCCCAGGCTCCTCTCTGAATCTTACAGGCGGTATCTCTGAGCATCACCCCACCCCAGTGCCCCCCAGGGAGCCTTCTTCTCTTCGGGGTGAGCCAACCTGGTGCCTTGAATGCTCCTGGGCCCCATTCCCCAGCCTCCTCTGATTCTGCTGTTTTCGGCTTGGCTGTTACATTAGCTTTGAGCGCCGCCCCCCTCCCTAGGAAGAGTGATGGAACGGGGGTGAGGAAGTGCTTTTATGGAACTTGGAGTTCACGGGCTCCCCAGAGGCCAGGAGGGGCTGTCTGGCTGGAGCCAAAGATGAGGCCAAGGAGCTGTTGGAAAGCCCTTGAGAGGTCATTTCATCCATCCCCCTAGCTCCCGCAGGGACCCACGCCGGCTCCAGGAGAGGGAAAGTCAGATCTCCTTTCTTCTGTGCTGCAAGAACTGGGCAAAGCATCCTGCTAGCCTCCCTTCTGACTGCTGCCTGGAGGTTGGACTCACTGGTGGTCTGGGAGGGGTCAGCTTTTGGACTCACTGACCTGGACCAGCCCCAACAGCAGGCAGCAGAGATGCTCATTTGCATGCTTATTTTACATTTCATTTCTGTGCCAGGAAGGCCTCTCCCACACCTGGCTGTGGCTTGAGGGAGCTGGACCTGACCCTCTGCACATGCCTTCCCCCATCCAACTCCCAGCCCTCTGGCTGGAGACCCATTGGATCCCGGGATGGGAGCCAGAGGGCCTTAAAGGGCCTCTGAGCAGGCCAAGTAGGAGCTAAAAATACCCCAGGGGGGGTTGGAGGGGGGCTCCCTGTGGAATCTCTGGGGAGGGAGGGGCCTGGGATGTGGGGCTGGAATTAGGGCACCCGCCCTGCCCCACCGCCCATCAGTGGGCACAAGGCTAGGGCAGGGTGAGGGCTGAGTGGGTATAGATGGTAAAGGGATTGATTGCAATCCCAAATGCCACCCATGCCCAGCTTTGCCTGCTCGGTACCCCAGGAGGCTGAGAGGAGGGGTCCCTTAGCCCACTCCCTCTGAGATGAGCAAAGCTGGGAGGTCATGGCCACCCTGCTCCCCAGCCACCTCATGCCCCCACAACTTGGTCAGGGCTGCAGCTGGGGGACAGCAACACTTCCACTGCATGTACACCCTGGAACGCAGCCTGGGCTGCCCAGGGACGCCTCGTCCCCTGAGGCCTGGAGCTACCCCTTCAAGTTCACCGTAGCCAACCCTGAGCCTCTGCCTCCAGCCAAATCTGGGCAACCGCGCCAGCATGACTCTGCCGGTGCCCCACCCCCACCCCAGGGATTCCACGGCCATGGAAGGACTCCCAGGTCCCATCCTCGGCTCCCTCTAAACAACTAGCCTGCTCTTTGCCCTCTGTTCCAGACTCCCTAACCAGGTGGGGCAAAAATTCCCAGGTGCTTGGAGGAACACCTGGGGGTGAGCGAAGGCCAGTCCCTGATGCTGCCAGAAGTCAGACCGAGTGCTCACGTTGGCCATGACTTCATAGTCAGCCCTTTTGAAGAACGAACCCATTTGTTCCCCTCAACAACCCCCTTGAGTTTGGTGGGACATCTGCTGTCCCCATTTCACTGATGAGGCACTCACAGCTCAGAGAGGGAAAAGAAATTGCCCTCACGAGGCAGAACAAACCCGAGAACCAGTCTCTTCGGTTCCTTTCCCACGGGCTTTTGCTTCGCTCCCTCACCTGGCAGTCGTGCGGGGGGCAGAGGTCCATGGGTGGTCAGGCAGCGGGCTCACCAGGCACCCTCTCCAGGCCAGACAGAGGGTGACTAACCGGGCCCGGCTGCCACCCTGGCGCCTTGCCCGCCTTGCCGGCAGCTCCTAGCACTGCTCTGCTTGGAGAAGCTGCACCCCTGCCCCCAGGGACGCTTCCCAGCTCCAGGTCGGAGCCAGAGATGTGAGATGTGAGGCGCAGGCAGAAGTCCCGCCCCCTTCCCAGCACCCCCAGGCGGTGCATTCCTGACAGCCAGTGGGCGGAGGCACCCCAGGTCCCGGCATGCCCAGGCCCTGCCCTGCTCTCTCTCCGGGGCCCTCACTCACAGGTCCCGGGCGGGAGCTGCAGGCAGGGCGTTGCTGTGTACCTCCAGACTCTGGCGGGCAGGCCAGGGCCCGGGTTCTGAGCTGGGAGCCTCAGGGTGATAGTGTTGCTGGGGCCAGATGGAGGGGTACCTAGGAGGTACCTGCCACCCAGAAGGCCGCGTCCATCAGGATCCGGGAAGCGGTCCGGGCAGAACGTCCGGAGGCTTCAGGGAGAGATGATGCCTGGGGAGCAAAGGGTGGTCAAGCTGTCTTCTCAAACCGAGGTGCACAGTATTTGGGGCACTTGTTAATTAGGCAGGTTCCAGGGGTCCACCCCCAGGTTCAATTTAGATGGTCTGTGGCAGGCTGAGGAGTTTGCCGGTTTTTAACAAATAGGCCAGGGATTTCTGATGCTGGTGGGCCAAGGACCATCTCCAGAGATACAGCGCCCAGGCTGACCTGCCTTCCTCCCCTCTAGCTGCCTGTCTGGGATGGGGTGGGTGGCCAGGGCTCTAAGCACCCTTGTAGAGACTTGCAGACAATGTCCCCAAAGATGGGTTCTGGGCAGGCTGGGAGCAATCCCCACTCTCGGGCCCACCTGCCAAGAATTCAGCCCTGTGGCCCCATTGTCCAAAGTGTCTGGTGCCCAGCTCCCCCATACCTTGTATGCCTGTCTCAAGGTGGTGGTGGTGTTCTGCAGGGGGAAGAGTAGCATCGCCCAGGTCACTTAAGGGCCCTGCTGACCCCAGCTCACCTGGCTCCGCTTTGGGGGACACTCTCTGCGTCCAGTGTCACCTCCTGCTCCTATTCTTCAGTGCTAGCCGCTAGACCCGAGTCCTCATATAATTTAGAGAGGAAGGACCCAGGCCTCCAGCATCATCTCCCCCAGGCCCCCTGGAAGTTGAAGGCCGTGCCAGGATTCCCCCAGTCATTCTCTCTTCCGGTCTACCTTCACCTCAGAGGCCAAAGCATGCCTTCCCAAACCCAGATCTGATCACGTTACTCCCTTGCTTAAAACTCCCTTCCCACGCTGCCCTCCTGTGTGTCTCTCCCCCCGACAACCCCTCTACTCATGTTCCCAGCTCCCACCATACTTAGGGCCGAGGGGATCCTGAGGCACCCTGCTTGCTCACGCTTCCTGGCCCTCCTGCAGATCATACTTTTGCCTACAGTGCCCTTCCTCCCTTTCTCCTGGTGAGCCCTGGTCATCAGCCTCAGACTCAGCCCGGGTTCCCCCTTCTGTGAGGACCCCCTTCTCCCGGACTACTCCCCACACCGCATCTGGGCAGGTTTGTGCCCTGCTTTCCTCTCCGGAGGCGCTTACTGCAGACGTCTGTTTTCTTGCCCGCCCCTCCTGTATTGGCCACTCCCAGAGGATGGGGGCCAGGATCCATTCATCTCCTGACCCCAGAGCCTGGCACACAGCCTGGCACTGGGGACACAGCAGGTGCTCAGTAAACATGTTGAACAGAAAGTTGTTCAAAGCAGGCTTTGGGGAGTCTGAGCCTGGGCCCACCAACCTCATTGCATCCCACCCCTTCCCCGCAGGCTCCTGGCTGGTGCCCCCCAGGACCTCACCATGCCTGATGGCTACACCAACCGGACTGGTGCTGTGTACCTGTGCCCACTCACTGCCCACAAGGATGACTGTGAGCGGATGGACATCTCGGAGAAAAGTGAGGGCAAGGCACTGGGGATCAGCACTGGGTCAGGAGTCTGGTGGAGGGGGTACCCCAGAGGGTGACCTGGAGCAGTGATCAGGCTTACCTGGGCAATTTCCAGTCCCTTCTTGTCCAGCTGGGAGGAGGGGGTGCTAGAGGAAAGTGGGACCACATGGGGTCGGCGGAGCTGAGATTCATGGCAGGCTGGAGAAGGGCATAGGGAGGGTGGCCTGCAGGAGTGGAGGGCCAGGAAGACCAACCCTATCCTCTGGAGGTTCCGAGCACGGGGAGGATGGATGCCCCGGCTCATGACCCCTCCCATGCCCACAGGTGACCCTGACCGTCACATTATTGAGGACATGTGGCTCGGGGTGACGGTGGCCAGCCAGGGCCCTGCGGGCCGAGTCCTGGTAAGTGGGCACGCACTGTCAGCTCCCCCTCTCCCCCGCACCCCAGCCCTCTCCTTCGTTTCCCAGGAGCTGGGGAGGGAAGCAGAGGGCAGGAGAGGGGTCTTCGGTGAGTGAGCTGGGACCTCGCAGATGTCTATTTCAGTGGCCGGAAATCTCCACGGGCCTGAGTGTCCCCTCGATCTTGCACTTATGATGTGCTTCCAGGGCCTGGCATGGCCTGGGTCCTGTCTGAACCACTCACTTCCTCCCCCTGCTCCCGCCCCCGCCTCCCGGGGTGCTCACCCTGCGTGGGAACGAGCTGAGGGAACTGTGAGGAGGAAAGGGCAGAGAGAGCCCGGGGCAGTGCGGCCTGGGCCTGCTCCTTCCTGACAGGCTGGCTGGCGGATGAGGCACAGCCCTGCTGACCCCGGCTCACCCCCTGGGGTTTGAGGGCCACTCCCTGCTGTCACTTGTCACTTCCTGGCTGCCTTCTTCAGTGTCGGCCCCTGGGGTCTCAATTTCTGAATCCCAGATAGGCAATTCTTTTTTTTTTTTTAATTTGATGGGAAATTTACAGACAGCGAAATGTACAGATTTTAAGTTTTAATGAGGTCTGACCAACGAAACACCTATGTAACTGATACCCATTAAAGAAATATTTACATCACTCCAGAAAGTGTGCCCCCGTCCAATCAATCGCCACCCCCTAGTCCTCTCTGTTGCAATTTCTGTCACCTTTGAACACCATTTTAAGCTCTGGGTTTGCATCAGTTCCCTGTAACGCCATTTTAGAACTGTGTTATGGAAGGCATGTGGTCTAGCATTCCATTTAGGGCAGTTCTAGATCCTGGGTACCCACTCGACAGATGTTCAGTGAGCACCTACTGTGTGCCCTGCCTCTGCTAGCACTAGCAGCTTAGCAGTGAGTCCGGCCTGCTGCTGGTGGAGCTCACAGCTGGAAGGAGACACAGAAAGCAAGCAGACAAGACCCAGGCCCAGTTCTGGATTTTGCCTGGCTGCTGGCTGTTTTAAAAACACCCTGATCTGATTGACTTGTCCCACAACTGTTTGTCGAGCCCTTCCAGTGTGCAGGGGGAGCTAGGAGAGAGGCAGGAGCTGCCTAGTGCTTCGGAGCTCAGACTCAGGAGCCTGGCAGCCTTGGTTTGAGGATTTTCTGCATCTCTCTGGTTGTGAGATCTTAGAGACTTAGTTCTCTGTGCCTCTGTGCCCTTTGTCTAAAATGGGGGGCGGGGTGGAAATTGTCCCTGCTCCACAGTGGTGTTGGGAGGCATACTGGAGTTAATATCGTGAGGAGCTTAGACTTCTGTCTGGTGTATAGTAAGCACTCAGTAGGTGTTAACTGCTATTATTATGGTATCATTGCTATTATTATTTTAATAATGGCCTATCCACGAAGAGGGCAGAGCAGAGAAGTAAGTTCCTTCATCTGCTCCTTTTAGACCCGAGAGCCCGGACCCCACATTCCCTCATCCTTTCCCCTTTTCCTTTTGTCAAGATCCGTAAGCCACTCTCAAACCCAGGACCTCCTGGCCTTCCCAAAAAGTGTTCCCAACCTTCAGGGCAGATTTCCGAATCCTGGGAAGCAGATGTGGTTCCAGGCGTCACTGTGGGAAGACAGAAAAGCTGGGAGACGTCTTCCAGCTCCTCTCCAGCAAAGCCAGAGGTGCCCAGGGCCAAGGAGACAGCCGGCCTTCGGTCCCTGCCACGGTCTCAGGCTGTGTGTGTCCCCAGGTCTGCGCCCACCGCTACACCCAGGTGCTATGGTCAGGGTCGGAGGACCAGCGGCGCATGGTGGGCAAGTGCTACGTGCGGGGCAATGACCTCGAGCTGGACCCCACCGATGACTGGCAGACCTACCACAATGAGATGTGCAACAGCAACACCGACTACCTGGCGACAGGCATGTGCCAATTGGGCACCAGCGGCGGCTTCACCCACAATACCGTGTACTTCGGCGCTCCCGGGGCCTACAACTGGCAAGGTAGGGGCCGCGGGGGACAGCGGGAGGAGCGGAGAGCGCCCACTCCCAGAGGGCAGAAGAGATCTCTTTGCCCCATGGCACCTCAAGTGCTCATTATGTTAATTAAACTTAAACTACTCTTATGAGGCAAGCGTCCCTACACCCATTTTACAGAACACTGAGCCTCAGAGAAGTGAAGTCAGTTGCCCAAGTTGCCAACAGTAAGTGACGACACCTGAACTGGAATGCAGGTCCATCTGACTCCACTTCAAGCACTGAAAACCTTATTAAGAAAATAAAACATGCTCCTGGTACAACCACTAACTGGGACAGTGGGATCTGGTGAAACAAAGAGTGAAAGTGCCCCTCCTCTCCCACCGCCCCCCCTTGTCCTGTTTCCCCGGGCAGACTACCGAGTGTCTTGCCGAGCCTCTGACTTATCTTAGACTATATAAATATCTTTGTAACACACACACACACACACACACACACACACACACACACACACACAGCATCACACTAAACATGCTGTTCTGCTACTTTCTCTTCCCACTTATCAGTAAGCTAGGGGCATTTTTTTCTCATCGATACATAGAGGGCAATCTTTGGGGGCTCGTGGAGTATTTCTTTGTATTAAGAGCCGAGCTGGTAACGGCTATGGCCGCACTGCTGGGGTGTCTGAGGCTCACAGCCCCCTCCATCTCTGCCTCTCTCCGCCACACAGGTTGTAGCCCCAGTGAGCCTCCTCTCCTTACTGCATCCTTGTTAATTGCAGAATCGACAGGCAGAGGGAGCCCCGAATCTCCTCCTCTTGACCAACAGGTAGCCCAGGGCGTAGTTGTAGCTCCACACTCACGAGAGGCTGAGGCCTCTCCTCCGTCCTCTGGTCCTCCCCCACCCCCTGGTCCTTTAGAACCTTGGCAGGGCAGCAGGGACTCTCCCACAGCAGCCCCAGGGAACAGGGAACAGGTAGGCAGCCCGAGTTTGGGGGCAGGACCAGGAGATAATGGCTTGGAGTCTGGCCTCGGTGTCTAGAGTGAGGAAAATGTCATTTCGAATCCAAGAGCCTGGATGACCAGATTCCAGCCCTGGCTCAACAACTACTCCCTATCCCCGAGCCTTGCTTTTCTCATCTGCAAAATGGGCATCATCATTCTGCTTCACAGAATTATTAAAATAAAGTGGACGTGATTTGCCAATGGCAAAGTGCTCACACATAAAAGGGGTTATTATATCCTTATTGGGTGAGGTTAGCAGGGGGACGTGGACGTGGTGGTGGAAGGGAGTGCTGACTTAAACTCCTCCCCTCTCCCTCCCGAAAGGAAACAGCTACATGATTCAGCGGAAGGACTGGGATTTATCCGAATATAGTTATAAGGACCCAGAGGACCAAGGGAACCTCTATATTGGTGAGTCCAGCTGTGGTGGCTCATGGGGTGGTGGAGGAAGGAGGGGGCTCAGTTCCTAGCACGCTGGCCTCTCACCTTCGGTGCCTGGTGGAAGAGCGAGGCCACGGTGCAGGTGTGACTAGTGGCATTTAGCTTGACCAGCACATACTTGCTGAGTACCACCTGTATGCCAGGGCTGTTCTGAGCACCCAAAATGCAAAGTCCCTACCTTCATGGAAGTCATAGTCCTGTGTGCAGGCAGGACTGGAGGCTGGGCGTCCAGGATCCACTTTCTTGCCCAACTTGGAATAGAGGAAGAGAAGATGTTTAGGAAGTCTGGGGGGCAGAGTGGAAGGGGACAAAGTTTACTGGGCCTTGCTTGACCACCTTCTCCCCCATCCCAGGATACACAGTGCAGGTGGGCAGCGCCATCCTGCACCCCACGGACATCACCATCGTGACAGGTGCCCCACGGCACCGACATATGGGTGCTGTCTTCTTGCTGAGCCAGGAGGCAGGCGGAGACCTGCGCAGGAGGCAGGTGCTGGAGGGCACGCAGGTGGGCGCCTATTTTGGCAGCGCCATTGCCCTGGCAGACCTGAACAATGATGGGTGAGGATCCAGGGACATTTTCTGGGGCCAGGGAGAACAGCAAGGGGGGGCAGTCTTGCCCAAACCAGGGCAGAGAAATGGAAGGTCCCGATTGCTCATTTGTTTGCATGCTCTTTACAGGGATTTGCTTGTTGATTTGCATGTTGATTTGCAATTAGCCTTGATGAGATTCTGGGTATTTACGTGTCAATTGCATGACACCTGCATCTCCTTTTGTCCTTGTATGGTTCTCATGGATGTGGGTTGTTTAGGTGTGATCTGCGCTCCCTGGCTTCCCCGTGAAGTGTGTCCTCTGTCAGACGGGTCATGTTGGCATTTCCATGTCCTTCCCGTGAACCATGGCCAGAGATGCCATTTGTATAGCCATGCGCCCTGGCGCAGTTGTGCCCACTAAACAAGTTATGTTGTCCCATTTCTCCCTCCTTCTCTCCCGTGCAGGTGGCAGGACCTCCTGGTGGGCGCCCCATACTACTTTGAGCGGAAAGAAGAGGTAGGGGGTGCCCTCTATGTCTTCATGAACCAGGCAGGCACCTCCTTCCCTGCCCACCCCTCCCTCCTTCTCCACGGCCCCAGTCGCTCCGCCTTTGGTTTCTCCGTGGCCAGCATTGGTGACATCAACCAGGACGGATTCCAGGGTATGAGCCAGCAGTCCTGCCCCAGCACACCCACTGAGTGCCAGCTCCATACCAGGCTTGACAGGGCCCGAAGAGAGGACGGGATGGGGCCCAGGCCCAGGGAGTTCACAGCAGTAATAGGGAGAGGCCGTGCAGAGGGAAGCCACCAGCAGCGAGCTCGGTGGGCCTCCCAGAGGAGTGGATATACCACTGGGCATCAGATGCTGAGCTGAGTGTGCACAATGGAGGGGAACAAAAGGGGTATCACGTGATTTCTCGATCTACCCAAATTTAGTGGATGTGGGGTGTTCACATCAGAAATGAATGAAGCTGGAGAAGCAGTGTGGAGATGGGGTGGGTGCTTTGAAAGCCAGGCAGAGGACCTGGGGCTTTACCTTTGGGTAATGGTGGAGGGGTGGGTGTCCAGAGAAGGTTTGGGGCAGGGATGTGATATGATAACTTGGTACCTTGAAAGATGGTTCTGGAGGGTAATATGGGGTGGATGGGGGAGAGTGAGGCTGGGGATGTTAAGACCAAGGATGTATTCTATCAAGTGTGGGATGCGAAGGGCTGGGACAAAGTGGAGCCCCAGGTGGAGAGGATATCCAGTGCTGTGCAGGACTTGGGGATCAATCAGACCTGGGGTATCAAGCAAAGAGACAGAGTAAGCAAGAGGCTGGTTGCCATGAAAGCGCCCGGCTTATGTGGAAACCGCTTTTTCTGACGACCTCAGTTTCCCAGAACATACCTGAGAACCAAAAGGAAGGCAGAGGAGTCTCTAAAGGGCCAAAGTAGGTGCTAAAAAGTTCAGGTAGCAAAGCCCAAGCATTTACTGATAGAAGAGTCATCTGGTTTCTACTCAGGACCTACTTACTTTTCCTTTACATACTTTTCTAACAAGCTTGGCTTTCCGGTTACCTAGGCCTTATCAGATCAAAAGTAGCGAACTAGAAAGAGTTGAGTAAAGGTTAAGATAATAAAACATTTGGGGTTTATTTGTGGAAATAATCGTTAGAATTTTAAAAGTCTAAGGAACTTTAATAAGGAAAGTGATAGTGTGATTAAAATTCCAGCCCCTGGTGTTAGACAGACATGGACTCAATATCCTCTTTCTACTCATGAGCTGTGTGGCTTTGGGTTTTCTGAGTCTGCTTCCTCATCTATAAAACGGGACGGCAGTACCTAACCCCAGCAGTCTCGTCAGGATTAAATGAGAGCAGTGCTTGATAACTAGCTGGCAGAGTCACCAACGGGGAACCCTTCCTTTTGTGACCCTGCTGGTAAATGTCATTAGAAGAACTGGGTGTCTGAAGGGGAGGTTGGTGGAGGAGATGCAAGGTGCCATAGTTAGGGAAAACAAACACTACTAGGCCAGTGCTCAGGAATCTGGAGTGTAGGCGTGCCTGTGACATTAACTTGCTGTGTGTCTAAGTAAGTCCCTTGTCTCTCCTAGACCTACTTTCCCACAATATAAAAGGAGGCACCTGGGCTCACAGTGGTCCCAGTTTTAATCCTGAGCTGTAGAGCTCCGTTCCCTGATGTTCTGAGCGCTGCCTGGCAGTGTGAGTTCTGTTTCCTGCTGGACCCTGTGGCCTGGAGTTCCAGGTCGGGAAGACATGGGGCCCGCAGGACTCAGGGTGACCTGTCCTGCCTCTCTTCCCCAGACATTGCTGTGGGAGCCCCGTTCGAGGGCTTGGGCAAAGTGTACATCTATCATAGCAGCTCCAGGGGGCTCCTGGGACGGCCGCAGCAGGTACGGGTGGACAGGAACAAAGGGGGCTTTCCCTCCTTCCCCTCACCCACCCTCTCCCCATCCCCCCTGGGCCCCACTCCCCAGAGCTCACCCTGAGCCTGTCCCCACTGCTTCCCCCTACCCCCAGGTAATCCAGGGGGAGGAGCTGGGACTGCCCGGCTTGGCCACCTTTGGCTACTCACTGAGTGGGCGGATGGACGTGGATGAGAACTCCTACCCAGACCTGCTGGTAGGGAGCCTGTCAGACCGCATCGTGCTGCTTCGGTAAGCCAGGGCGATGGTAGATAGGGGCCTTTCTCCCCTCCAGCCCTGTCTGCATGGCTCCCCAGCTCCATCCACCTTTGGCACCAGGTCCACGCAAGCCTGAGCCCCAGGCCTGGCCTGGCAGGGGCTGGGCAGGAAGGACTGATGTCTGTTTTCCATGCAGGGCACGGCCTGTCATCAATATCCTCCACAAGACCTTGGTGGCCAGGCCATCTGTGCTGGACCCTGCGCTCTGCACAACCACCTCCTGGTGAGACTCTCAGCCGCTGCTCTGTCCACGTACTCCTTATGTATGGGCATGCCAGGAAGGACCCTGGCTCCCAAACCCCTCCCCTGGCAACTGCTGATTTCCCACCCTTAGAGGGTTGATTCCTGGGGTAAGCGTTGCCCCTCCTACCCAACCTCATTAAAAAGCCAACCTCCTTGCCGGAGGTAATGGGCAAATTGGAGGGGTAGGAGAGCATGGTGGTTAGGAGTGGGAGCTCTGGACGGCCTTGTTCAAATCCCAGCTACGCCCACTGCAGTGGTAAGGGTGGGCTCTGGGGAGGGAGGTCCCGGAGGAGGAGGGAAGAGGGAGACATTTAGGTGGATGGGAGAGAGAGCCACCTTGAACAAATTATTATCTCTCTGAGTCTCAGGTTCATTGCCTATAAAACAAAGTTAATAACAGTAACAACAAATTTATGGGATTGTTGTGATAATTAAATGAGATGATGTACACAAAGCCCTTCACCTGGGGCCTTGTCCACCTCAAGTGCTCAGAATATGTTAGTTGCTAACATGGTCACAGTAATGATGGTGATGGCCCCGAGGCCTATGCATGAATGAGGCCTGGATCAGAAGGCAAAGGGACCCAGAGCAGAAAGCAGGGGTGAGTGGGAGAAGGAGATCTGGATAGTGTACCCTGTACAAGACTGGGCAGGGCACCAACCAACCGATAACTTCAGGCAACTCCTTCTGCTCTCAGGGCCTCAGTTTCCAAACCATTGGTGACCTCTAACCCAGTTTTCTTTAATTTTTTTTTAAGATCTAATTTATTTATTTTAGAGGGAGGGGGAGCAGAGAGGGAGAGGGAGAGAGAGTTTCAAGCAGACTCCCCACTGAGTGCAGAGCTCAATGAGGGGCTCGATCTCATGACTCTGAGCTCAAGACCAGAGCCAAAACCAAGAGTCAGATGCTTAACAAACTGCGCCACCCAGGCACCCCTCTAACCCTGTTTTCTGTGGCTTTCATGGGAGTGGGGAGGGAAGAGGCCAAAGACACCCTAACCAGCTCTGTGGATTCCCCAGGTTTGCCCCTGCCTTTCCTCCTAAGGGCCCTGGTTTCCCCTGGCCCAGTACAGGGGTGAAGGCCAGGGCATGGATAACTGGGTCCCACTGTGACCTCCTCCTGTCTCCCGCCTCCCAACAGCGTGCAGGTGGAGCTGTGCTTTGCTTACAACCAGAGCGCCGGGAACCCCAACTACAAGCGAAACATCAGTGAGTACGGGGGTGTGGGGAAGGGAGGGGTATGCTTGCCTGGCCACTTGATAACACCCCATCCACCTCCAGCCCTGGCCTACACGCTGGAGGCCGACCGGGACCGCAGACCGCCTCGGCTTCGCTTTGCACGCAGCCAGTCAGCCGTCTTCCACGGCTTCTTCTCCATGCCCGACATGCGCTGCCAGACGCTGGAACTGCTCCTGATGGTGAGGGAGGGGCCAGGGGCGGGATGCCGGCTCCAAGATCTCTGGAGGAGGTTAGCCAGAGTACCCCCAGATCAGGGGCAAGGGACTGGAGTCTCCCCAGAGACAGAGGTGGGGGAGGTGGGCCTGGGAGGCCATAGGTCTGCAGTGGGTACAGTGCACAGAATCTGGTAGAAAGAGACAGAGAGCCTCGGAATGGGGATGGGTGCCAAAGGGCTCATCACCTCTGAGAAAAGTGAGGTGTGTGAGACTCTTGGCTTAGTTGGTGTCTGGGGGGAAAGGGACCCGTGAGTGCGGGACCAGCTCAGCCCCTCTCTAGGATATCACGGTTGAAAGAGATCATTCTGGGGACCTCGGGGATGAAGGGAGGCTCAACAAACCCCTGACCCCCAATACACCCCCCCACCCCCATCTCTGGGGAGAAGGAGTCCCATCATCTTGCTTGTAGGTCAAAGTTGTAGGAAGGGAGTCAATCTGATGATAGGACCAGAGGGGGTTCAGCCTTACTGGGGTTTTTCAAGGTGGGTGGGGGTTCAGCTCCTCCTTGAGGGTTCAGGGTGGTGTGAAGAGTCAACTTGGGGAGGGGGGAGGGGAGCGCAGCGCTGGGCTTAGCTCCCCCTCCTTCCCCAGGATAACGTCCGCGACAAACTCCGCCCCATCATCATCTCGATGAACTACTCTTTACCTTTGAGGATGCCCGAGCGCCCCCGGCTGGGGCTGCGGTCCCTAGACCCCTATCCGGTGCTGAACCAGGCGCAGGCTCTGGAGAACCACACCGAGGTGGGTGGGGCCCGGGCCGGAAGGGCGGGGGCCGGGAGGCCTGTGGGGTGAGAGGGTGCTGTGGAGGATGGGCCCTCACGCCTCCGGCCACCCCCAGGTCCACTTCCAGAAAGAGTGCGGCCAGGACAACAAATGCGACAGCAACTTGCAGATGCAGGCGGCCTTCGTGTCGGAGCTGGGGCTGCCGCTGAGCAGGTGCGCTCTGGGCCGGGCTGATTGGCCAAGGGCGGGGCGGGGCGGGGCGGGGCTTCATTGGCTAACGGGAGGTGAGGGGCGGGGCCCTGCGGGTCGGGGCGATTCCCCGGGACCCTGGAAGATCTGAGGGGCGGGGCCTAGGGGAGAGGCGAGTTGAGAGCAGGGACGTTAATTGGCCAGGTGGGTGCTTAGCGGGCCTTCGCGGACAAGGAAAGGGGCTTTCTTCTCCAGAGGAGGCCAGAGGGCCGGGCTTGGCTGTCCCGAGAAGGGACTTTCTTCACTCAATAGACCTGAGGGGCGGGGCCTAGTTGATCCGGGGCGGGCCTGGGGCGGGGTTCTGGTCTCAGTCCCGGGGTCCTTCCCTCCGCTCAGGCTGCAGTACAGCAGAGATGGCCGGAAACTGCTCCTGAGCATCAACGTGACCAACACCCCGAGCAGGGAGCGCGCTGGGGAAGACGCCCACGAGGCGCTGCTCACCCTGGCGGTGCCTCCCGCCCTGCTGCTGTCCTCAGTGCGCCCCGTGAGTGCCCCCCCGCCACCCGGCGAGTGCCCCCCGCAGGGCTCAAGCCCAGACAGGGCTCCGTGAGCATGTACATCCTTATATACATGTCATTTACATGTGTTCTCATTTGTCCTGTGTCCACCCCGCTTCCTCTCGGCTGGGCTTCTTCAGATGTCTGCAGCGTCTCTAATGCCAGGAGCACCCGGTGCTCAAGCCTCTAGGCATCAGACCCAGTGCCACAGGGAGGGGGCTGGAGGTCCGTACTCTGACCACCCAGACCTGATTTGTCTTCTTTCCTCAGGCTGGGATGTGCCAGGCCAATGAGACCATTGTCTGTGAGCTGGGGAACCCCTTCAAACGGAACCAGAGGGTGAGTGCTGGCCACACCTTCCCAGGCCTGTGGGTCCCAGCCTGCTACTCTGATGAGCTTCTTAACCTTGCGTCTGCCTGCCTGCTTCCCAGGCTTCCTCGAAGCAAAGAGCCAGGATAGGGGACAGGGAAATACAGGAGGGCATGGGGAGAGGCCCAGAGACTAAGAAAAATGGGGCCACTAGCGATGCCCAAAACTAGAGCAGGTGGAGGTGAGGAACTGGATTTTGCTGAACACCTACTATATGCCAGGCCCGGAGTCCAACACTTCACACTTTTTTTTATGCTGCAATTCTCACAACCTTTTGAGGAGGTAGATGCTGTTTTACAGAAAGAAAATATAGGCTTAGAGAGTTACAGTAACTCGGGCACCTGGGTAGCTCAGTCGGTTAAGTGCCTGACTCTTGATTTTGGCTCAGGTCATGATCTCAGGGTCATGAGATCAAGCTCCCCTTGGGACTCTGCACTCAGCGTGGAGTCTGCTTGAGATTCTCTGCCTCTCCCTCCCCCTCTGCCCCTCTCCCTGCATGCGCTCTCTCTTTCTCTAAAATAAATCCTTTTTTAAAAAAGAAAGTTACAGTAACTTGTTCAAGGTCATAGTTGAAAGTAGCAGAGATGTCATGGACAGAGAAGAAGGGGAAACGGGAACAGGACGAGGCTAGCAAGGTGAAAGAGTGGACCCAGGTGGCCAGGCAGAGACTCCTTGCCCAGAAGAGGGGGCCAGAGAACCAACTCCCTCGCATAGCGTTCAGCCCCTCTCTTCCGTATGGCATCACCCCTGCCCGGCCCCAAATGCCTCTCTCTGCCTCCCTGGTCCTCATGGCAGATGGAGCTGCTCATTGCCTTCGAGGTCACCGGAGTGACCCTGCACACAAGAGAACTCCAGGCGCAGCTGCAGCTCTCCACGTGAGTGACCTCAAGAAGCCAGTCTGCGGCAGGGGTGAGGCGCCCTGGGACCTCCTCCAGCCTGGGCCTCAGCTGACACTTCTTGCCTACCCCCTGCATTCCCTCCCTAGGTCAAGTCACCAGGACAACCTGTGGCCCGTGACCCTGACTCTGCAGGTGGACTACACACTCCAGGCCTCACTCAGCATGTGGGTACCACCCCTCCCCCAGCCTGCTGTGTCTGTGCGTGGGCCTGCCTGTCCCCAGCGTGGCTCCTGAGCTCCTCGGACATACCTGTCTAGGCCTGCGCTTCCCCTGGGTCACCCCTTCCCTTAACAGCAATCACTATCATTATTGTTGCTATTATTTGTCCCCTTGTAAGGCAGGGGGCCATGGAGGAGTCAGCCACCCTGGGGCCAAGGTGTTGGTGTGGCCCTAGCATTTCATGAGGGCTCATTGTGCTAGGAATTTTATATATAGCAGCTCATTGACTTCCCACAACAGCCCCATGATATAGCAACCATTTTACAGATGGGGAAACCGAGGCTCTGGGAGGATACATAACTTGCTTGAGCAATAACTACCACACAGCGAATACATGCAAAGCAGGGGTCTATCTCAGGTCTGCCTGATGTCAGAGGAGCTGGAGTTTGCCTACCTCGGTGCCCGCCCCTTCTGCCAGGGCCCCTCCCACCCCCTCAGACTCTAGCATCTTTCTTACCCTTAGAGTGAATTACCGGCTACAAAGCTTCTTCGGAGGGACAGTGATGGGCGAGTCTGGCATGAAAACTGTGGAGGATGTGGGAAGCCCCCTCAAGTATGAGTTCCAGGTAAGGGGGCTACGGGGGAAGGCAGGGATGGGCCTGGGGTCCGTGGGTGTGCGGGTTTGGGGATGGGTGAGATGGAGGGGGTTTGCCAGGAGGCAGTGGCCGTGACATCCGTTGTGCCCACAGGTGGGCCCCATGGGGGAAGGGCTGGCAGCCCTGGGGACCCTGGCCCTAGGGCTGGAGTGGCCCTACGAAGTCATCAATGGCAAGTGGCTGTTGTACCCTACAGACATCACCATCCATGGCAATGGGTCCTGGCCCTGCCGGCCACCTGGAGACCTCATCAACCCTCTGAATCTCACTCTCTCTGTAAGGACACCACTGGGGGCCTTTCATTTACATCTCATTTGCATCGTATCTCATTTGCATGCTGCAGGGCAGAAAGGCCAGGGTCTTGCCCTCCCCCGCATTGTGCACCTTTAGGAGCCTGCCGCCCCTCTGCCTTTCTGCCTCTCCCCCGACTCTGCTCCAGCTCCTTCCTCCCAGCCAACATCTTCTTCCCTCTCAGGTCCCTGGCGACGGGCCGTCTCCACAGCGCAGGCGGAGACAGCTGGACCCAGGGGGAGGCCCGGCCCCCCCGCCAGTCACTCTGGCTGCTACCAAGAAAGCCAAGTCTGAGACAAAGCTGGTGAGTGGCCAGGACAAGGTTGGAAGGGATCGTCCCCACCATCGTAGGGCGTGTGGGCACCAGGGGGCACCGAAGCAAGGGGGATTGGGCGCCAGTCACCAGGAGACCCTGGTGTGATGAGGTGATGTGACTGACCCCTGTGCCGTGAGGCGCCCCTAGTCAGAGGGAGGAAGACTCCTCTCCTCCCTCAGTGGGCATCCCACTGCTCTTGCCCTTGGGGGAGCAGCCAATTCAGTGGGCCAAAGGAAGAGACACTGGCTTTACTCCCCAGAGCCCCATCCTGTTGGGGGTGATACAGCCGCTCAAAGTCTTAGACGCTGGAGCTGGGGAATGGGAGAGGCAGGATGGAGGGGAGGCAGGGAGATATGGGTGGTGCAGGGCGCCCTCTGTTGGAAGGGAGAAAGGAACAGGCGTGGGAAGCAAGTTGAGGCCTAGCTGAGTGGAGAGGGAGGAGGTGGTGTCCCAGGTGGCGGGAACTGGCTTGAACAAAGGCTCAGTGAGGGACCGGCGGTGGAAAGGGGGTGTCGGGTGCTGGGCCCCATTTATATACAAAGGGACCAGATTTCATGTTATCTACGTCCGTGGCATCTATATGTGCTTGGCCTAAAGAACGGGACCTTGATGTGTAAGTGTGGGGGTGGGGTGGTCTGCATAAGAGAAGGGGTGAGGTAGGGCCCCTTGGGGTCAGCCTTGGGTGAGACTGAGCCAGGGGAAGAGCCAAAGGGAAGGCGTGAAGCAGGAAGAATGTGGAGCCCCAGACTGTCTCACGTCCTGTTTTCCCCGCCCACCCCAGAAGTGTGGCAGTGACCAGGCCCGTTGTGTGTGGCTGGAGTGCCCCATTCCTGATACCCCTGTCATCACCAATGTGACAGTGCAGGCCCGAGTATGGAATAGCACCTTCATTGAGGTCAGTGCCTGGGTCTGCAGGTCTCTACTGCCCCCCCGCCAGGGTGGGGAAAGCAACAGGGAGAAGGTGAGGCTGGGGTCACAGCCAGGGTCGCGTGTGCCTGTGTGTGCGTGTGTGGGTCAGTGACAACATCGGACTTTACCCAGAAGCCATTGTACTCCTGTCACTGTATGCCTGTCAGCGTTAGTTTGTGTGTCTGCGTGTGGGCATGATGTCATGTCCGTCTCCAGCCAGAATGACCTTCTCCCGGGTGTCCATTATTCCGTCCTGCGCCTGTTTCTTTCCCACGCCCACGTCTTTGCGGTGCCGCTCCCTCCCCCTGGAAGGCCAGCTCCCCTTCTGTTATCTCTGCCTGTAAATTCCTCTTCAGCGTTCAGGCTCTCCCCAGCCGCTTCACCACCAGTGAGGTCTTTTCTGAGGTTCCCAGCTGCAGACGACCTCTCCAGACACCCACAGAACTTTCTCAGAAGCTGCGCATGCCACCGATCACGCTCTGCTCTGGGTTGCACTTACTCACATGCCAGCCACCTAGACCCAGTTTTTCTGCAAAGGACGAGATTATCAATCTTTTCAGCTTTTGTGGGGCGTGCAGTTTCTGCTGCAAGTCTTCAGTTCTGCCATTGGGCATAAGCTGCCATAAACAACGTAGAAACGAACGGGCGTGGCTGTGTGCCAAAAACATTTTATTTACAAAAGCATGTGACGGGCCAGATTTAGCCCAGAGACCTGACCCTAGACTGTGACCTTCCTTGTCTCTGCTGTCCCCCGCATCCGGCGTAGGACGCGCCGCATGAATGATGTGCATTTGTGTGTGCAGATGCCTGGCTCTCAGATCCCTTGGGGTGCTGCTTAAAGATGCTGTGTGGTGGGAGGGTGCCCTGGGGAGGATGCTCAGGGTTCAAGAGGGAGGCTCAGAGGGGCTTCAGCTACTTCTTTGGACCCACCCCTTGCCCCCATCCAGGATTACAGAGACTTTGACAGAGTCAGCGTATCCGGCTGGGCTACCCTGTTCCTCCGAACGAGCATCCCTACCATCAACATGGAGAACAAGACCGTGTGGGTGAGTGAGCATGTTGAGGAGCCACAGTGCCTGGCCAGGGCATGGGAGCGCAGGGCAGGTTTTCAGAGCACTCGCTCACACCTTAGCTACAGGGTTCTCAATCTTCGCAGCACATGGGACTCCTCTGGAGGACTTCTGGTGTCTGGACTATACCCCTAAGCAATGAAATGAGTCCGTGGAGGTGGGACCCCAGGTAGGGGAGGTTTACAAGTCCCCCAGTGACTCTAAGGTACAACCAGGGCTGAGAACCTCTGCTGGAGCTTATTTGATCTGCACAACTTCTTTGTGAAGATGCTCCATCTCCGTGGAAACTTGAAAACAAAGTTCTCAAACTTGATTCTGAGTTTCATCGGAGAGGGAAAAAAAATGACAAAATTGTCGATTTTTTCGTGAAAAGGCTATAGTGGAGATATGGAGGGGGCATAATACAGGAGACGAAGAGAGGGTTGCTTAAATGCATTGTTGTGTATCGCCCAAAATAAATTAAGGTAGTGGAGGAAGGGCCAGAAAGACCAATGGAACAGAATAGAAATTTATGTTATTATACAGATGGCATTTTTAACCAATAGAGAAAGTTAGATTATGAAGTGGTGTTGGGAGAACGTATTTGGAAAGTAAAGACAGACCCTTACCTCACATGATAACCAAAACTACAGCGGAGTTAGATTAAATATTTAAATAGAGGAAATAAAACTTAATATACCAGAAGAAAATTCAGAAAATAATTTAATAATAATCTTTAATTATGGGGAGAGGGAGTTATTTTACTAAACCCAGAAGTTGCAAAGGAAACATTTGACCAATTAGATTATATGACATTTTAAACCTGTATACAGCAAAGGAGATGATAAAAAGAAACTAGAAGCGCAAACAATAGATTGCTTTTAAAAAAGTTTCTAGCGTATACGACGAAGGATTGATATATTTTTTTAGTATGTCAAGGTAAAGGGCAGCATAAACATAAACAGGCAGTATACAGGGTATACCCAGTATACACAGAGTGAACTAGAAATGGTCACCTTGGTAGTGAGGAGATAAAAATAACAGCCACAAGATTTTTTTCCCTATCAGATTGGAAAAGATTAAAGACACTAAAGCTGTCTGGTGCCGATGAGGTAGAAGGAAATGCTATTGGTTCGAGTATAAATGGATGGATTCTTTTTGGAAATGAATTTGTCAATATCTGTTAGAGTTTAAAATGCACACTTCCTTTGATCCAGCCCATGATAGTATATCTTAAGGAGCTAATAGGACAAATATGCGAATATAAATATATGGGGATATTTGAAAGCGTGGTTTATAATGGCATGAAATTGGAAACACTCTACCTGTCTTTCGGTAGGAGATTGGTTCAATAAATTGTGGTACATTTTCTAGAATGACTATGCAGTCATCAGAGATTAGGTTGATCTTTCTTAATTGACATCAAGAGATGATGACTGTAGCTGAAAGAGGGGTCAGGTCAGGCCGCAGGAAGGCATGTGCAGCACACAGAGACCCCGTTTATGTGGAAGAAGAAAGGATGTGTGTTTAACATGGGCATTAAAAACTATGGAAAGAGAGTCACCAAAATGTTGAAGAGTTATTTCCAGGGAGTAAAATTACTGGGAACCTTTAGTTTTCTTGATATCATCTGTATTTAAACAAAAATAATAATCAAAATAATTTTTAAAGAAATAATCATGTATAGTCAGAGAAAAATTTTCTCTCAGTATATATAAAATACATTATATGTAATATAATTTTGTTATAATACATATTACATATTATATAACACTTATATGCTATGTATGTTATGGATCATAATATTACAATATTATATAATATACAATATTGCATAATATATATGTTAAAAATAATATATATTATATGTAACATAACGTAAGATAAATTGTATATAGTATACATTATAATATATATTTTACAATATATTATAATGTATAATTATGTATGTTATATGAGTGTGTGTGTGTGTGTATATATATATATATATATATATATATATATATATATACATCTCCACTGTAGGGGAAGAAAAATAATGGTACTATATGCTCTGCATTCTTTGTTTTTTTGTAAATATTTAGGAATGCTGGTTATGTACCAGGTATTGCTCAAAGCAGTTTCCTGATAGTAAACACATTTAATCCTCACCAGTGACCTATGAAGTAGGTATCATTCTCATAATCCCCAGTTTACAGATGAACAACAGAGAGGTTAAGTGATTTGCCCAAGGTCACACAGCTAGTGAACAGCGCAGCTGGCGCTTGAGCCCAGGTAGTCTGGCTCCAGAACCCATGCTCTTGACCACTTTGCTATACCATGAGGTAGGCATTGTGATCTCCTTTATCAGAGACCATGAAATGGAGATTCAGAGAGGTGAACTTACTTGTCCAAGGCCACACAGCTCCTCAAGGATGGAGCTGGTACTCAAGCCTGGGTGTGTGGGCTACAAACCCAGACTCCAGGCTGTGTCCCAGATCTGAAGCTGGTCCTTTGGAGCCAGGTCTGCTCCTGGGGAAAACCAGAGGACGGAGGGATCTGTGGCCGGCAGTGGGCAGGCAGGGGTTTTTTTCTGGTCCCTGAGTGCCCCCTGCTGGTAGTAGGTCAAACAGCAGGGTCCTGGGCCCCGCTGGGACGGGATGGCTGAGCATGGGGTCTAAGGGGGTGGACACAGGGCTGAGCCCCTTCTCACCGCTGCCAGTTCTCCGTGGACATTGACTCTGACCTGGTGGAGGAGCTACCAGCGGAGATCGAGCTGTGGCTGGTGCTCGTGGCTGTGGGTGCGGGGCTGCTGCTCCTGGGGCTGATCATCCTCCTGCTGTGGAAGGTTAGGACCCCCAGACCACCACTGGGACCCCCGCTCTGGGACCTCCTGCCAGCAGACCCTCACCAGCTCTCCCTTCATCCCATTCCTGCTTCCACCCCACCCCCCACCCTTCTCCCACGTTGTCCCCAGCTTCTGGTCTCATCCCCTGCCTCCCCACCCCCCATCCTCACCTCACCCACCAGGACATTCCTGCCTGGTTAATGGGGCCGGGGGGGGGGGCGGGTGGGATCTGCAAGCTGGAAAGGGGAGGCCAGGAGCTCTGGCTTCTGGCCACACCACCAAGCAGGGGCTGGGACCCAGGCATCCAGGCTCCCCAGCCCTAAGCCCCAGGCCATGAGTGCTGCCGGCCAGGCCCCCCCAGCGCCCCCTGATGGCCCATCCCCACCTCCTCCCCTCCGCAGTGCGGCTTCTTCAAGCGAGCCCGCACTCGCGCCCTGTATGAAGCTAAGAGGCAGAAGGCGGAGATGAAGAGCCAGCCGTCAGAGACAGAGAGGCTGACCGACGACTACTGAGGGGGGCAGCCCCCTGCCCCCGGCCCACCTGGGTAACGCGGCCTCCGGGCCCTCTTCCCTGAGCCCTGCAGCTGGCCGGGGCCTCTGACTCTGTCCTATCTGCTTTTCTTCCTCACGGGTCCTCGCTGCACTTCACTCTGCCCCTGGCATCAGCCCAAAGAGCAGCCCATGGTCTCCCTCCACACCCTGGGAGAGCTCAAGATGTCTTCTCACCGCCTCCCTTGAAGATTTGGGGCCCCAAGAGGGAGCCATAAAATGCTCCCCATGCCCCCTTTGCTTTCTGGGAATCGGAAAAGGACCCAGGCCAAGGCTAGGCCCCATCTCTGGGCCACACAGCAAATACCCAGAGTGATTCTGCGCCTCCATTTCCACCTCCAGAGAAGGAGGGGACTAGGAGTCCTTCTGGAACTAGTACCTTTCCTCCTCGGAGCCCCTCTGGGGTGACATGCTGGCCCTCCACCCCCATAGTGCGATCAGGGCAGACCACGACGCTTCCTAGCCATCCTGTCAGCAACCTCAGTGACTGCCCCTCTGTCTCCAGCTGCCTCCCCCTCTCCTCTCTGCCTTCCTCAATTCCTCCTTCCTCTGGGGCCGAGGGTGGGCAACCTCGCCCTCTCTGTCACAGTGCAGGGAGATGGCATGTGTTTGGGTCAGGGGTCCTGGCTTTGAGAGCCCCTGGGTGGGGGGTGGGGAAGGAGCTAGGCGCATCTTCCGGCAACCTCGAGGGCTGGATGCTGATGCCCTTCCTCTTCTCCGCCCCCCCCCCCCCCCCGCGCAGTGTGACTTCTTTAAGCGGACCCGCTATTACCGGATCATGCCCAAGTACCACGCGGTGCGGATCCGGGAGGAGGAGCGCTACCCACCCCCAGGGAGCACCGTGCCTACCAAGAAGCACTGGGTGACCAGCTGGCAGACGCGGGACCGATACTACTGATATCCTCCCTGATCCCACCCCTGCTCCCCCAGTGCCCCTCCTATTTATCATATGTTATGCCCCTGACAGGCCACAGGGGCCACTGCCTTTGGCCGGCGCCAGCAGGTCCGGGCAGACACAGCCCTGCTAGCACAGGCATGTGCGTCTGGCCGCGGGCTTCTCCCCGCAGGAGCATGGGGGCCGTGGGCCTGGACACGCGGGGGGCCCGCCACCTGTGGACTGTGCCGGGCACCACCCCTGCCTGGGCCAAAACCAAGCCAAAGGGCCTGCACCAGAGCGAGGAGGAAAAGGCCCCCACTGTGGTAACACCCTCACCCCCACCTTTCACACTGGACCCATCTTGAGCCATAGTCACTGGATTGACTCTGCTGTTGAGACTACAACTACTACCACAGGGAACAGCGCCCCAGGCACCCGCAGCCGTGGCTCCTGGCACCCACCTCAGGTTGCCCACGGTGGTGGCATTTGCAGCACCTGGCACCTTGGGTTCAGACCCAAGAGCAGAGTGGACTAGAAGGAAGGTCCCCAGGATTCCTTTCCTTCACAGATCTCTGTGAAGCCTCTCTCCTCGGGGGAGATTCCCTTCTGACAAGGAACGCAGTCTGAGAGAACAAAGACGGACAAGCCACTGGACAGCGTGGCAGACTGCCTGTGACAGGACTGCCCCGGGAGCACGGAGGAATGCTCAGCAGAGGAGGGGACCCGTCCTGGGCCAAGGAGCTGTTGGAAGGAGAGAGGAGATCCTACTTCTCACTGACCACTACTATCCAGGGCTCTGAAGGCCCGGAGAGACCCCACACCCCCCAAGATCACGGAGGGAGCGACACTTGAATGTAGAACGGGGAGGGAACCCTGTCCCTGCCCCATCGGCTGGAACCTCCTCTGCCCTCACTGCCCATGGGTAAGGGGCCTAGAAGTGGGGTTCTTGGCGGTCCTTGGCTTTCAGAACCAACTTAGCTCTGCCTCCTCACCCCACGGGCTAAGTCCTGAGGCCCATTCTAGAAGTCGAGGCTGGTTCCAGGAAACCTCTCCTGACCCCTGCCTTTTGGCAGTCCCCTTTTCCAGTCCCTACCCACTTCCACGGTACTGTAGCAGGGGAGCTCCCTCCCCCCCCCCTTGTGCCTTCTTTGTATATAGGCTTCTCACGGCAACCAATAAACAGCTCCCAGTTTGTATGCTCTGCATCGGCCTCCATTCACCACCCCACCCTCATCCCCATCCCAACCCCAGTTCAGTCTGTTGGATAGTGATGTCATCTAGCTGACCCCTAGGTGGACAAAGCCAGGGGCAGGGATCATAGAGGTTGGGAGGGTGAAAATGTATGCGGGACATACCAGTCCCTGCTCTCAGGGATGTCCTGATCTAAGGGATGGTCATCCAGAACGTAAAGTCTGGGAAAAGACCTGAGTATACTGGATAGAATCCAAAATGGTGGACAGTGTGCTGGCCCTGGGGAGGGAGGAGGGAGGTAAAGGTGGTGGTGTGCAGGGTCCAGAAGAGGCCGAAAGCTACTTGGCTGTAGAAGCAGGTAGTCCTGGATAGTAGTGGAGGGAGGCTGGGTGCAAGGGTGGAGAGCCAAGAGCCCCCATCCATTGTCTGGATTCAGATAAAAGCCTGCTTCTCTGCCTCAATTCCACCCCCACGCCCACCGCTAGACACCACGATGAGTAGATCAGGGGGTGAACCAGTGACCCGAGACTGGAAAGATGGAAAGGTCTGGTATTCCCCAGTGTCTGGGCATGGGTACCTGGAGTCCTCGTCTTGTGGCCATTCTTCCAAGGGTGCTTCAGTCCTGAGCCCCCATAGCCCACAGCATTGGATCAAGTCCTCTGCTTCCCAAGGTCGCCCTTCCACACAGGCCTGGGAGGATGGAGCAGGGCTGCATTCCCCACGACTTCTTTGTCCTAAATTGTGGCATAGATCCTTCTGTTAGTTGTCCTCAAAGCTATGACCTTTGGAAGACTTCACTGAAGGCTGAAAATTACTACTCAGAGAAACCCAGTGACAGATCCTTGATTCAGCTGCTCTGAGAGCCCACAGACCCAGGCTATTCTCCCAGGAGCCCCTCCCAATGTCTGCCTTGGTGTCCCCCAACCTGCCTCCCTGGCAGCGTCTGCCCTCTGCTACCCCCACCAGAGCCCACACCTCCCCGCCCCTCACTTTCTGTGCTGGGCTTGCCCTTTCCAGGGTGGATTATTAACAGTGGAAGGTCCAGTTCCTCCGGGAAAACCCCAGCCCCTACCTGGAGCTCTCAGAACCAGTAATCAGAATCCCCAGGTCCTTTTCCAAAACCTGGGTTATTCACTCAGTCAGGAGTAATACCACATGTGGGTTGGCAAACCCAGCTCAGGTTGAGCAGAGCTCAGGCCAGCCCAGTCCTGTCCTTTGCAGACACCTCCTGCTTAAGAAAAAGGTAGGATCTAGGGATCTACACATCCCTCTGGCCAGCTCCACAGGCTCAGCGCCCAGTCTTGGGGGGTGTGTGTGTGTGAGTGACAGACTGTTTATGCTTGGATGAGAACAGTCTCTCTCTCTCACATACACACACATATGCACACACACCCTGCAGTATAAGTAATCATTTTCAGGACTGGTGCTATACTTTTATGAGAGAAACATAATGGCAGGGGCGCCTGGGTGGCTCAGTTGGTTAAGCGGCTGCCTTTGGCTCAGGTTATGGTCGCGGGATCCTGGGATCCAGTCTCGCAAGGGGATCTCTGCTGAGTGGGGAGTCTGCTTGTCCCTCTCCCTCTGCTCCTTCCCTTGCTTGTGTTCTCTCCTGCTCTCTGCCAAATAAATAAATTTTTAAAAATCTTGATTTTATTTAAAAAAAAGAAAGAAACAATGGCAGAGATGCAGCAATGCCCACTTTATATAAAAAGGTCCTCAATAATGTCAAGCTTCTGGAGCTCCTTGGAACTGTGCTCCGGGAGGGAGCACCTCCCGACCGTTCCCAAAGAGGGTTTTCGCTTTTGAGTCACTAAAAGGACCCATAAGGTGATTCTCCTCCTCTGGACACAAGGCTGGATTGCACTTCCTGGGCCCTCCTGGTTGTATGAGGTCATGTGACTAATTCTGGCCAATCAGTTGTGAGCAGGAGGGACGTGGCTCAATTCTGGGCTGAGACCCTTAAATGTTGGCTGAGAGTCCCCACAGTTCTGCTTTCCTGATTCAGCTGCTGTAGAAGTCTGCCTTGAGATAAAATGTCTGTCAGTCTGAGTCCCTGAGAGTCACCCTCCCACCACCAACCTGCCTTGTACCTGTAGTAGGAAATCGGCATGGTGGCGTGGGGAGGAGTTTAACCTCAGCATCTCTAACTTAGCTTGACCACACCATGCCACTCCCATTATCACCCTGCAGCAATCCCTGCAGAAGGAATTTTGATCCAAGCACAGAGCCACAATATAGAAGTCCAGCACTAAGGAGGGGATCACGGGAAATCTCTCCTACACCTAGCCTCAGAGTTTACAGCCTTTTCCTCATTACTTAAAATTTTTTAAAGACTTATTTAATTAATTGAGAGACAGAGAGAGAGAGCAGGGAGGGGGCAGGGGGAGAGGGAGAGAATCCTCAAGCAGATTCCCCACTGAGCCCAGCAGGGGGCTCGATCTCACGACCCTGAGATCATGACCTGAGCCAAAACCACGAGTCCGATGCTCAACTGACTGAACCACCCAGGCGCCCCTCCTTACTTAAATTTTGACAATAGTAATAGCTGCTATTGATTGATTATTTACTATGTGCCAGGCACAGGGCCGGGCTCTTTACATAAGTATCCTGTATGCTCTTCTGGACAACTTGAAGACTACACTCACCAACATCATCAATGATTTAATTGCTAGCTGGAAGGATGTTTGGTGGTCCTCCCTGATGACTCTGTGCTATGTCTCCCTGGTGGTCCCAATTCCTTTTTCACACTCTTTTCCCTTCTGTGTGCCAGGTGCTGTGCCTGGTGCTGGAGATAGAGCAGTGAATTATACAGACGCAGAGAGCCCTGCCTTCCTGGAGCTTAAAGTTTAGTGGAGGAGACAGATGAGTCAGCAGATGATTTCCACTCAGTGTGATAGGAGCCAAGTGGTGCTAAGATTGGGGAGGTCTAAGGAGCCCTTAGAGGGAGCCCAAAACCTGGCCTGGTAGGGTCGGAGACTTGAAGAATGGATAGGTGGTGAGAATGATTCCGACAGAGAATGATTCCGACAGAAGAGACAGCATTTGCAACGGCTTAGAGACTGGAGGCTGGTTCAAGGCAGTAGATAAGTATGGCTGGGAGTTGAGCAAGGGAATGTGGAAAGAGGAGGCTGGAGAGTTAAGCCAAAGCAGATCGTGCAAGAGCTGGAAAGACGCCAGTAAGAAGCAGGGAGCCACTGAAAGTCTGTGAGCAAGGGAAGTAACAAGTTCAGATTTGCTTTTGAGAATGATCCCTGAGCCTGTTTCCTCATCTGTATAATGGGGATAATAATAGCACCAGAGAGCCGTCTGGAGAATTAAAGGAGATAATGCATGCAAACAGTGCCTGGCACATATGTTATTATTCATCCAGCTAAGAGTACCTTCCATTGGGAAGCCTTGCACATAGCTTAGTGTTGACTGTAATCACATTCTGTTACACAAACTACTTATTTACTTCGGCAGCTACCTCCCAAACTAAGAAATGAAAAGACTACCTCCTTATCCTTTCTGTGTTTCCTGTTCCCAGCACAAAGCCCAGCACATACTGAGCACTTGGTCAGTGGGGCCCAGGGACTGAACAGTTAAAGAGCGAAAACATCAAAGGGACAAGACTGGGGGGAGGGGGAGAGGTGGGGGATCAGGACGTACCGCATTCCACCACAAGAGGCGCAGGGCGGCTGGGGAAGGGCAGGCTCCCCGGCCCCCCTCGCAGATCACCTGGCAGGACCTTTCTCTAAAGCAGCCCAGTACGAAGATGGTCGCTTTCTCAGGTCAAATGAGTAGAGAATAATTAAAGTGTTTTGAGAACTGCACGCATAGCGCTGATGTTAAGGGATGCCTCCACCGCCGCCAGTCGTTAGGGTTTTGACTCTGGGTGCGGTCTTTTCCTGAGCCGCTTGGATCTTTGTGGAAGTGGGTGGGGTGCACGTCTGTATGAGGGATTAACATGGGCTTGCATCCTGATCCCGAAGTTTGCAAACTTTCCCAGTCCGAGTCACTGTCATCCGGACTGGGAACCCACCAGATCGTCCCCCTCAGGGAGCGCAAGTGGGGATCAGGCCGGGTGAAACAGGTCCCTTTGAGAGGGAACGGATTCGTGGAGAGGTACCCGGACAATTTTAGGGAAGGCGAGCGAAGGAGATTTGGGAGGGCGCGGGAGAGGAAGAAATGAAAAGGGAGGAGGAATGATGGACCTCTGGGGAGACAGGGGTTAAGCCGGGCTTGGCCTGGAGGAGGAAAGGGCGGAGCGAACGCTCGGGAGGCGGGCTCATGGCGCAGCCTCCCGAAAACAACTGGCTGCCCCCGGCAAGGACGGGGTTAAGGGGGTGGGCCCGGGGGGGGGGAAAGCCACGTGCCGGGGCGAGAGGCGATTGGCTCTGCCGGCGTTGTTTGTGAGCGGCCATTGGCGACGTCGGGGCGTCGCGACGAGCCGATTGGCCAGGGTTTGGAGGACTGCCCGGGCCGGGGCGGGGAGGAGGTGGCCCGTCCCCGTCGCTGGGCCGGGCTGGGCCGAGTTGAGCGTCAACGCTGTCCGCTGGGGGACCGGTGCCCGAGTTCGAGCTGCGGCCGCCGCCGCCGCCGCCATGCGCTGGGTCCGCGCGCTGCTGAAGAATGCGTCCCTGGCAGGGGCGCCCAAGTATATCGAACACTTCAGCAAGTTCTCCCCGTCCCCGCTGTCCATAAAGCAGTTTCTGGACTTTGGTACGGAGTGTGGGGGGGGGTGGCTGGCCGTGGGGGCCCGCAGGGCGCGGGGGGCAGTGAGGGAGGGAGCTCTGGCTAATCCACGAAGGATTAACGCGGAGGAGAGGAGAGGCCCTGCGTGACAGGGAAGGGTTGCTGGGGCACAGGCAGGAAAGGGTTAAGGTGGGGGGGGAGGGGCAGGGACTGGCCCTGAAAGGGTTAAGGTATCCTGGGGAAGAGCTGTATACTGGGCTGTCAATGGGAAGTGGGGGCACTGAGAAGGAGGGGTCTAACTACCTTGCTGGGCTTTGTGAGAGGTCTTAGTAAGGGAGAGCCAGGAGGTGATGTTAGGGCAGGAGGGGAGTGGGGTATATCCCGACAGAAAGGGTTAAAGGTGGTTGTCCTCGTGACTCAATGAGTAGGAGATGGAGAGGAAATGGGGCTGGGACGCTGGTGGGAGTAACAAGGCGGGATTAGGAGGTGCAAACATCTGGAAAGAGACCTGGGCTGGGCTGGGCACCCAGGGGTCAGGTGGCAACTGGGCTCTTTCAGAAAAATGTCAACAGGAGGGAGGTCGCTGATCAGTATACCTCCACCCACTGAAGAAGCTGACCCCCAGCTGGCCCAATGCGCAAGGACACTTGAAGAGCAAATCTGTTTGGGCCTGGCTCCCTGTCCCCTCCCAGGCTGAGGCTTGGAGCACCATGAGGTGGAGTCGGGAGGCTTGCAGCCTTGGCCACCCCTAGGTTCTTGGGCCAGGATCACCCACCAGCAACGCCCTGGGGGCACCTTGGGAGCAGAAGCAAGACTGTGCCACTGGGGCCACTGAAACAGGCGTTGTGTGGGCCATGTCTACCCGGTATTTCCATGGTGCCAGCTAGGGATTAGGAGGGGGTGCCCGGGTCTCTCAGGAGTTGAAGAGACAGTGCCTGGCTCAAGTTACAGCTGCGTCACTGATGGGAGGGGGTGGGGAGGTGGCATCTAGGACACAGGGCCCCTGTTACCCAGGACTTGTCTGCCTGTCCCCCTGCCCTTTTTGAGCTGTCCTATGTAAGAAAGCCCGCTGGGCGCATTCCCAGCCACCAGTAGCTGTTCGGTCCAGACTGGACCCCAGTTATAGAAATGGACTGGGTGGGGCTCACAGTCCAATTTGGTCCACTTGTAGTGCCGTGGGGAAAACAGATCTTCAGAAGGGTAGTCACATGCCCTAGGTGGCAGACTTGGAAGCAGAACTTAGACTAGCATCTGGCTCTTCTTACTCTAGGCCATGGCCTCAGTCTACCACTCCGTCTTCATCTTGAAGCCAGACCAAGGACCAAGATATTTAGGCTCCCATCCTTGGGCCCTGTGTGCCTCCCACGTGGGCATTAATAGAGGGTCAACTCTACAGTTGTCATCAAGACCAGCCTGGGTGAAGACAGACTGGGCCAGAAATGACCTGGGACCCCGCAGCTGCCATGGTCCAGGCATAGCACCCCTCAGCCAGGCCCAGACCTGGGAAGAGGTGGTTTTCCCAGGCTCCTCTGCCCACCCAATCCACCCCACCCTACCCCTTCCACCCCTCAAAGCGAGTGTCTGCTAGGAAGGACAGAAAGTGAAGAAGTAAGGTAACTGAGGCCAGAGGCAGCTCCAAGTGAGCCTGGGAGTGGCCCTGTCCCCTGTGGTTGAAGGCAAGCAGGCTGGGGGCGAGGGGACGCAAGCTTGGAGAGGGTTAGGCAGGGTGGCATGGAGGTGGGAGCCCTGCAGGGGATTAGGAGAGGTGCTTTGCTCTGTGCCCCTGGTCACTTCTCTGAACCCTCAGGAAATGAAGGATTTAATCGACCTGACCCCTGAGATGACCTCTGGCTCCAGGGGTTTGCAGCTCTGTGGGCTCACCTCTGTCTCTCTCCCTCCCACCAGGGTCCAGCAATGCCTGTGAGAAAACCTCATTCACCTTCCTCAGGCAGGAGCTGCCTGTGCGCCTGGCCAACATCATGAAAGAGATCAACCTGCTTCCAGACCGAGTGCTGAGCACACCCTCGGTGCAGCTGGTCCAGAGCTGGTGAGACCCCTGACCAGGCCCCTGCACCTCCCACTCCGCTGCCAGATGCCCCTGGGCTCCCAGAGCCTCTGTGCTCCCAGTAGCCTTGAGAGAGGTGGGGACAGAGAGGAAGCACAGGGGCTCCAAGAGGCTGGAGAGTTGCCCAAGGTCAGGTGGAACGCTAGGCCAGATCAGGGACCGACATAAAGCTCCTAGCCTCCATGCCTGTGGGCCAGCCCTATTCTTACCACTCTTCTTTCTCCAGAAACCCAGGATCCACCTGGGGAATTGTTTACGCAGCCAAAACCCAAACCATGCTAATACCGGCATTCACCACCAGCTCTGGTTCTGGAACCCCAGCACCTACTGGGTCATATTTACCTGGGGGCAACATTGTAGGGAAACAGAAACAGGAAGAAATGAATTTTCAAATGTTTTAATCCAAGCTACAAGTCGGACTGTTTTGGATGTTGGAAAACACTCAGACACGAGTGGCACCGTACCGACCCCCAAGAACTTCGGAGGGGCAAAGACCAAAAGTTGCAGCAGTAGCAGGGGGAAATCCTCAGTAAAGGTCCCTCTAGAACTCTGTCCCAGGTTACGTAACTGGATGACATGATCCAATGGCTGGTCACATGAAGAACAAACAAGAGTTTGCTGTGTGACTGGCGTGCGGATGGTTGATCCTGGTTGGTCTTTGGTGGTACCTGCGCCGGAAGGCTTTGCCAGTCCTCCTGGCTATGGTGTGGCATGGCTGTGGTTCGCTGTTGGGTTCAGGAGCAGGGGTCCACACCTGCTGTGAGCCCGGCGCCATGCCGGGAATAGAAAAGCAGCAGCCACAGCTCCCCTCCAGGAGCCTGGGAGCTCACGGGGAGCAGGAGAGTGGGTAAACTGAGAGCTACATAGATTGTGGTGGGAGCAGCGAGTTGCCGAAGAGTTACTCTTACTAAACAACCAAAATGTTATTTAAAAAGTAACATGGATTGGGGTTCTTTTCCTCCTCATCGTGGAAGTATTTTCTGGAAGACACAGAAAAATAGAAAGCCATCCACTCCCCTCCACGCCATAACCAAACACTGGTAGGGTTTCAGAAGGTCTTAGTGGGACCCTCCTAGCATCGTTTCTATGCATGGATACCTGCACAGGCAGAACTTACTCCGATGTAATGAGATACGGTAAGGAAAGTGTTTTGTGCACAAGGCCAGGCTCTCAGTAGGCACGCACCAGATGTCAGTTGAAGCAGAGAGTTGTGGGGAAGTTGAGAGGGACACATAGAGGAGGTGGCACGTCACTGGGCCTTCCAGGGGGCCGGGAGTGAGCTTAGACCTAGAAAGGAGGGAAGGGCATTCCAGGCCTTGGGACTGCTTGTGCCAGGGCGTGGAGGCAGGCAAGGGCCCAGCCAGGGCCTCTGCAACCTCACTCTGCACCTGCAGTGCTTTCGGTGCAAGCTGCGAAGGGGGCCGGGGGGAGAGGGCAGGACCTGGCATTCCTGCAGCCCAGCCAGGTCACCCCTCACTGGGCCCTGGCCCTTGGAGGTCCAAGACCTCTGAGCCAACCAGCATTTCCCACCACGGGGTGGTGGGGAAGTGGTGGGGAGGAGGCAGAAGGTGCCATCTGTTTGCCTGCTTCTCCTCCAGCTCTGCCCGGCTGGCTGGCCCTGCTACCTCTCCAGCAGGCCCCTGACGCCAGGACAGGCCCTCGCAGGCCCTTCCCTGGACGCTGTGTTCCTAGGAGAGCTGGGGGATGTGTGTCGGGGTGTGGGGGAGCAGGGAACTCCCGGACTGCCTGTGAGGCCCCCAGGCCCCAGTGGAGGCCATTTCTGAAAATCAGTTACGCATGTGTGGGCTTGGCCTGGTCTTTCTTTCCTCAAAGCTTGGAAGTAATGTCCAGCAACAGCAGGACAGAGCGAAGTTAGACAAGAGAGAGCACTTCCCAGTGGTTGGTTCAGCTTAGAGGAGAACAGGCCATGGGATTTCTGGAATGTCCTGATGCACTGACTGGAGCCTGCTGAGGTTGTTTCTAGAGAATGGGCATCATCGGCTGCAGCAAGAGAGACTGAGGTCTGAGGGGAGGAGGGACTTTCTGATGGGGACGAGGTGGCCACCTGTTAGTGCAGACCCCCCTCCAGGAGAACCCACTACCAGCTTGGATGTGGAGGTGGTGGAGGTGGGCAGGGTTTGCACGAGAGGAGGGGGACAGTGTACCATGGAGCCTGGCAAGAGGGCCTCTACCCTCAGAGTCTGACGAGTAAGGAGCAAACGCTCCTGTTTGGAAAATGGAAAAGTCGGGTTCGCATGCTGTTTGCAGTAGTGGCGATAATGACGTGGTGAAGGCGAATAGAGTTGTTACTCAGCCGCAGAGAAGTTCTAGGCGAGAAAGCCAGCTGGAGGAGGGCGTGGAGCTGGTAGGAGTGTGCTTCCAGAAAGGGGGGGGGGGGTTTGAGCGAGAGTGGCAGAGTAGAATCAGATGACAGTGAGTCACTCCTGTCACTAAGGGTCTTGCAGGGGTTGTAGGGAAAGGGGCCGAGGCTTGAGTCCCATCCTCACTGAACCCCTTGGCCTCTCCTTCCATAACCGGGCTTGAGACTGAGGATGTCAGAGTGGTACTGCCGTGAACCCCATTTCCGAGCCGGGGACCGGAGCGGCTCAGTGGCCTCTGTAGGGCCCAGCCGGCCACAGGGCCCGAGTCTGCCCGGCTCAGGGCCTGCATTCGGCTCCCCTCCGGAGAGCAGCTTCCAGACGCGGGACAGGTCTGCCACCTCCCCCTCCTCAAACGGCCCCTGCCTTGTTCACACTCCTTATCCGCAGCGGCTGTGGACACTAGTGGCTGATGTGCGCGCGCATACACACACACACACACACACGCGCGCGCGCACTACCACGCAAACGCCCCTCCACCTCCCTCCACATTCCACCCCCTGCCTCCCAAATCCAGGGCTCTGGGCAGGCTAGAAAGCGCCAGAAGGCAGGAGCCCTGGGTGCCTGATTTGCTGCTGAGGTTGGCAGGCCCAGGCCTTCCCTAGGGCAGCTATATTGGGCCCCCACAGCCTGCTGGGAGGCGGGGAGTCAATGCCACATGGGCCAGTGCACCGCTACTTCGGGCCTCCTAGGTCCGAGCCCAGTTCTTTCTCTGGTGGTCAGTGTGGGAGCAGCCCAGGAGCCAGGGTCACTCCTTTCTCAGTGTCTCTCCCTATAGGACCAGATCTTGCCTGAGGGTGACATCTGGGCTACCAGGCCTCAGCGGGCTTCAGGCCAGGCCCAGGGTCCTCTGGGAAGACCCTTCCCATCTTGTCCTCTCCCTCCCGAGAGCCCATGTGGACCCACTCCCTGGCAGGAGTGGCCCTTCGAGGGAGGCGGGCAGGGGGCCTAACGCTGCCTCGTAGTCCAGGAGACCAAGGCCTGAGGCTGGCGGCCCTTTGAATGCCCGTGCTGGCGGGGACTGCCCATTGTCCGTCCGTCCTGGCGCCCTTTACTTCACTGGCCATGTGACCAGGCCCCACTTCTGTCCTCTAGGGTGCAGCAGGCAGCCTCGGAGGGGTGGGGCCAGGAGCTAGGGCGCTGGGCCTACGCCTGCGCTGGGACGCTGTCCCTGCCCCTTCATCTCCTGGCGCAGCGGGCAGGGCCTCCCAGCTTCCACCCTCTCCCTCCCTGCCTGCCCCCCAACCCCACCCCATCTTAGGAAGGGGTTCTGGGCCCCACTCTCCAACCGGTTTCTTCCCCTTCCTCTCTCTACCTACCCCAGCCTTGCACACTTGCAGGTTTTCTCCCTTGAAGATTTATCCTGGGCATGGGGGAGGGGGGCAGGGATTTGGGGGCACATAGCCTGCGAGAGAGAAGCCCAGCTCTGCACGGTGACCGCCTCATCTGTAGAGTGGGGGAGCGGGAGCACCCACCTCACAGGGTATCACGGAGGCGAAAGTAGGGGAGCAGGCAAGCACAGAGCCGAGCCTTGTCCGACGCTGGCGGCAGCCGTCATGTCACTGCTGGGACCAGTGTGGATGGTGAGCAGTTGGCCACGTGGTGTGGACTGGGAGTCAGACAGACATGGGTTCGAATCCCAGCATGGCCCTTGACCGTGGGGCCTGGGCCGTATCACCTGCTTTCCCTGAGCTGGTTTCCATCTACAGAAAGGGGAAGTACCACATGCTCCTCAAGGCTGCTGGGGGATGGGAGACCCTGGGTAGACTCGGCAACAGGAAGGCTCTAGCCCTCATCACTCCGTAGCAGAGTCAGCCCGCCTGTTACTACTCTCCAGGGAGCTTGAGGCCTGGCCTTTAGAGTGCCTCTGTGATTGTCTGCTGGGGCTGCAGGCATGGGGGGGGACGGGGCAGGCTGGTCTCTTCTGCTGGGTGGGGAGGACAGGCAGGGAGCACCAGGGCTGGAAAGGCCCCATTCCTGCCATCCCTAGCATAGTGGCTGTCCAGAGCATGATTAAAATGGGACTCAGAGCCTACGCCCGGTATGACCAGGAGGAGGGTGTCGGGTGCCGTGTGGGGGCTCAGAGGATGCACTTAGCTGTGGCTGATGTGTAAACCACCGTTCAGAGCAAGGGTGCACATCTGGAGAGTGCTCACTGCGTGCTAGGCACGGTGCTAAGTATGACCTTTGACCTTCACTGAAAGGCAGTGATAGCGGTAGTACGAAACCTTCCACTTTCCTGATGCGGAAACTCAGGCCCAGAGAGGCTCCATGACTTACCCGGGCCACACAGCCCTGAGTGGAAAAGCCAGGAAGAGGACTCAGCAGAGCCAGCGCCCCAGCCAGCACCCCCACCCTCTCCTCTAGTGTCTGAAGCGAGAGAGGGAAGAGCAGTGGGCGGGGGGGGAGGTGAAGGGGGAAGGGTATTCTGGGCAGAGAACCGTCAGGGACGCGGAGGTGAGCATTCTGAGCAGAGCCGGCGCTGCCGGGTAGCAAGAGTGCGGAGGATTGGGTCTTCACTACCCTGCCTCCCGGCCTGATGACTGCTTTGGGCCTCAGTTGAGGAGCCTGTGAAATGGGGCTAATGCCTGCCCTTCTTACCTGTCAAGGTCAAAGCACTGTGTCCATAGGAATGCATCTACCGTGGAGGGGCCTTTTCTAGCAAGACCATTAGGCCACAGAGCCCTCTGTCCCAGGGCTCTCCTCCTTCCTGCTGGCCTCAAGTGTTTCTACCAGAGAGAGGCTCGGCTTTGTGGCCTTCCCCAGGAGAACAACCCGTGGGCTGGACACGGTAGCAGGAAGCACTGGGGGTCCTGGCTTACAAGGCAGGGGGACAGTGGCTCTAGGTTGGCACGGGCTGCTGCCACAGGTGAGCCTGACTCCCTTGCACAGGCTGGCCCCCTGCTGCCCCAAGTTCGGGGCTTCCCAACACTCCCTGGTTCCCCAGCTCTTCTAGGTCCTGGGGAAATCGGCGTCTCAACTAGGCCTGCAGATGGGGGGCAGCAGCGGGCCATGCACTCCTGCTGGGCCTTCGGAGTGGAGTGAGATGTCCTGGCTCTCCGTGAGCTCCAGCCCCACCCACGGTCAGAGCTGGCCAAGCCTGCCCCGCTCCCGTGTCCTTCCCACCCACCATTTAAAATCCACTTCCCTAGGCAGAGTGCACGGCCCCTGGTTAGGGGCCCAGAGCGTTAGGCTATAATCCTCACTGAGCCCCTGCTCTGTGACGCGCCCTGGGCCAATCACTCTGCCAGCCGTGCCCCATGGGCTGCAACAGTAACCCTGCAGGACAAATGTTAGGACCGGTTTCCATGAAGGGGCTCAGGGAGGTTAAGCGGCTTGCCCCAGCCTTCTCTCTTGGTCAATAATCCACGAGACCCCAGGGATGGGATGATCCCCATTGCCCTCCAAAGACTGCTATTCTTAGATTCCACAGCAAAGGTGCTATGAGGGGGACCAGCAAATGAGAGATGTTCTTGCATAACTTACTGTGTTGTCAGGGAGACTCGCATACAGATGAAAGGAATTGAGAAAAAGTGTGGTGTAGCCTGTCAAGCAGGGCAGCTCTGTGTGGGTAGGGGTGAGGCCGGTGTGGGGGCAGCTCTGTGTGCCACTGCCCACGGTAGGGGCGGGGTGGGTGTGGGGGCAGCTGAGTCAGTTGGGAAGGGGGCCAGGCCTGGCCTGGAGCTGAGGTGATGTCCCCCCTCCCCCCCACTGCACACAGGTATGTCCAAAGTCTCCTGGACATCATGGAGTTCCTGGACAAGGACCCTGAGGACCATCGTACCCTAAGCCAGTAAGTGAGGGCCCCAGTGGGGGGCAGGAGGGCAGGTGCAGGTGAGGGGTACTGGGTCACAGCCCTGAGGCAGAAATGGCCAGGAGGGTGGAAGAAATGATCCCTGTCCTCAACGGTATCTAGTCTGAGGGGGAATTAACCCTTGGCCTCCGTGTCCTTGAGTCTGACTGGGGGGATCCAAGCTCCTGCCCCTGAGGAGTGCCCCCTGATGTCGGGCAGGCGGTGGAAGATGCAGGGTGGGCTTGGGAAGCTGTGGGGAGGGCGCTGTGGGTCTGTCAGGTTGGGAAGGGTCCTGCGAATGAAGACGTGTGGAGAAGAGGTCCGAAGTAGGGGAGAGTCTGAGGGTGCCCCAGGGTTGGGGCCGGGTGAGGGCCAACAGCTGCCGTGCTCTGCAGGTTCACTGATGCCCTGGTCACCATCCGGAACCGCCACAACGACGTGGTGCCCACCATGGCACAGGGCGTGCTTGAGTACAAGGACACCTACGGCGACGACCCGGTCTCCAACCAGAACATCCAGTACTTTCTGGACCGCTTCTACCTCAGCCGCATCTCCATCCGCATGCTTATCAACCAGCACAGTGAGCGGGGCTGGGGGGCTCAGGACCCGAGAGCACCTGCCTGGCTCCACAGTGGAGGAGGAAGGCAGCAGCGTGGAAGTGCCTTGTTGTGAACGCTTACAGAAGGCAAAATGACATCGCCTCTTTCAAAAGCGTTCAATGTGGTATTCGTCACAACTCTGTTATATTCAGAAATTGTTTGTTGTTTCGAGGTCCTTATTCCTGGAGTATTCACTGTGATTGTTGAGAAATTATAACCGATTGAAAATGAAATGAGTTCCTCATGCTCAGATAAGTTCAGATGCAGGACAGTAAAATGATTTTTAAATGCTGTAGCGAAAGGAAGAAGAAATGTCACGTGGGCTGTGTGGTGGACTAGGCCCGCTGAGAGGAATACTTCAGGTCTGTAGACAGTCCAGACATGGCCCGAGCCGGGCATGGAGGGGCCCGGGGAAATGGAGAAGAGGTGTTACATGTAGGGATGGAGTTGGAGAGTCCTGGAAGCGGGAGGGGAGCCCCACCAACAGCTCCCTGCCTTCTCACCCGCAGCCCTGATTTTTGACGGCAGCACCAACCCAGCCCACCCCAAACACATCGGCAGCATCGACCCCAGTTGCAATGTCTCCGAGGTGGTGAAGGGTAAGCCGTCCCCAGCACGGAGGAGCCCCAGAGACCCCCTCCCAGCTGCCTGGCCTGAGGATGTGTCATTGCCCCCCGCCCCCCGTGGGTGGGGGCCTCGTCCGCTTGGGTTTAATATTGGTGATGCCCCGTGCCAGTGCCAAGCACGAGGAGTGCCTGCTGGGTGGACCAACCCATTCCCTGAACGGCCCCTCTCCTCTCTCAGATGCCTATGATATGGCCAAGCTCCTGTGTGACAAGTATTACATGGCCTCGCCCGACTTGGAGATCCAGGAGATCAATAGTGAGTGAGCAAGTGTGTGTGTGTGTGTGTGCATGCGCCTGTGCGTGTCTGTCTGTCTAAGGGCTCTGGAGAGGAAGGTGAGATGGGGAGTCAGGAAAGGAACCGGAAAAAAAAGAAAAAAAGAAATGGATGGGACAGAAGCAGAGCTATTATTGACTTATTATTAGCACTATTATTACTGATTTATTTGCTAAGTATTTATTAAGCAGTGAACATGCCAAGGAAGGTCCCTGTTCTCATGGAGGTTACATACTTCATTCTGGGGAGGCTGGGGAAGGGGGCTGTTAGCCAGTGAGCAAATAATCAACAAGCTAATTTCATTTTTAAAAAAAATATTTATTTATTTGACAGAGACACAGCGAGAGAGGGAACACAAGCAGGGGGAGTGGGAGAGGGAGAAGCAGGCTTCCCACAGAGCAGGGAGCCCGATGCGGGGCTCGCTCCCAGGACCCTGGGATCATGACCCAAGCCGAAGGCAGACGCTTAACGACTGAACCACCCAGGCGCCCCCAACAAGCTAATTTCAGATGGTGACAAGGGACAGGGAGGAAACGAGACGAGGTCACGTGACAGTGATGGGGCGGAGCAGTGTATTTACTAGGGTATCAGCTTGGCTGCCTTTTCAGAATCCAGATAACAGTGGCTTAATTCAAAGAGAGGTTTCCCTCTTTCCAGCCCCTGGGGTGGAGCGGCAAAGCCGGCTCCCCAGCCTCATGTCTCAGTCCCAGCTGGAGAAGGGGAGGAGGATGGAGAAGGCAGGACCCAGGGGTTGGACAGTCGCTCCCCTAAGTCACCTGGCCAGGCCTAGCTGCCAGGGAGGCCGGCAATTCAGTCTCTATAGCTGGGCAGCCAGCGGCCCGTTAGAACTTTGGGGGAGGCTGTATCTCTGACAAGAGGTGGGGAAGAGCGGACACGAGAGGATGGCTGCGGGGGTCCTGCTTTGGGTGGGGTGGGTGGGCAGGCACCAGCAGGACCAGTGAGGGGGCTGGGCGACGGGCGGGGAGGGGTTGGAGACAGGCCAAGGCAGGCAGGGCCCGTGGGCCGCAGACAGGAGCCGGGATATTGTGTGCAGCGGGGAAGCCCACTGAAGGGTGCGGAGCAACGGTGATGCCAGGGTCTGACGTTCATTCCAAAGATATTTAGAGGTTGGAGGGGGCAGGCGAGACGTCAGGAAGGCCAGTTAGGTGGTCACTGCAGGAATCCAGGGGAGGGGAAGGCAGCGGAGATGGAAAGAAGGGGGTAGATTTGATAAATATCTTGGAGGTAGAGAGGTCAGGACCTGCTGATGAACCAGGGGCATAGGGGAAAGGGGGATCAGGGATCTGGAAGTTTCTCTACCCTTCCCCTCCCACACCTGCTCCTTAGCCACCCCCTGCCTGTGCGCCAGAAACCTGAGGCCTTTCATGCCTGGAAGTCACGCTGCCCACATCTGAAAGGCCCAATTCAAGTCCAGGTCCTCCGAAAAGCCTTCCTGGACTTCCCAGAAAAAATGGTTAGGCACCCAGCTTCCTGGGGCATACCTCTGTAATGACTGAATGGCTTGGAGGTATGGGGCACCCGGGTGGCTCAGTTGTTTGGGTGCCTGCCTTTGGCTTGGGTCATGATCCCAGGGTCCTGGGATCGAGCCCCGCATTGGGCTCCCTGCTCAGCAGGGGGTCTGCTTCTCCCTCTTCCCCTGCTTGTGCGCTCTCTCTCTCTCTGTGTCAAATAAGTAAAATTTTTAATAAATGACTAAATTAATTAATTTCTTGGAGGCAGGGATGGAAGGACAGAGACAGGCCACGTTACTTCAATATCCTTAGGGTCAAGCACAGGGCCTGGCACGTAGCTCTGGGTACAGCACTTAATGTAAAAGTCAGTTGTGCCTTTGTCTAGACTTGAATTTCCAAGCAGGTAGGGCTGAATTTTATTCATCTTTATGCCCCACTGCCCAGTACAGGGCCTGAGATTCCTTCATTCACGAATCCATTGCACATTTATCGAGCTCCCACTGCAGACAAAGCTGTGTGCCAGACGCCAGGAGAAGACAGGCAGTCATTCACACCAGGAAGCTCTCCAGGCTACAGCGATTCTTGAGGCTGAGTGCTGGTGTCAGAACCATGTGCAGCACCCCTCCCCTCTCCGCACTGGATTAAAAAGCTCTCCAGGGGTTCTGGGGTCCAGGCAAATGCTAGTAGGCTGAATATAGGCTGGATAGATATTTTCTGAATGGTTGAAGGGGCTAGATAAACAGCGGATAAATGGAAGGCTGGATCTGGACTCTATGAATGAATGGGCAGATGGGAAGAAGGATGGATGTTTGAACAGATACACAGTTGAGGGACAGTCGGATGGTTGAATGGATGCCGGATGGGTAGATAGAAGAATTAGTGGATGTTGATATAGTGGTTGGATGGAGGGGGTGGACGGGTGGACGGATGGACATTGTATAGTGATGGATACTGTATGGCTAGATGGTTGAATGGACACCGAATGAATGGATAGCTGGATGAATAAATGCCGGATGAATGGCCCGGCAGATGGTTGGAAGATAAACGGGTGGTTGAGTGCTGGGTGCTAGGTGCTAAGTCAATGAATGCTGAATGGTGACTTCTTGACAATTTCCTGATCCTTGGTCTTGACTTCCCCAGCAGCATCCAACTCCAAACAGCCCATTCACATGGTCTATGTCCCCTCCCACCTCTATCACATGCTTTTTGAACTCTTCAAGGTAAGGAGGTGGGGGGTGATGGTCCTCTGCGGCGTTGGGGGTGGTTAGGGCTGGGCCGCTCTGACTCATCTCTTCCGCCTTTCCCTCCACAGAATGCCATGCGTGCAACCGTGGAAAGCCACGAGTCCAGCCTTGTCCTCCCACCTATCAAGGTCATGGTGGCCTTGGGTGAGGAAGATCTGTCCATCAAAGTATGTGGCGCTTGATTTGGGGGCCAGAGAGCAGTGGGGCGGGGACTTCCCTCCTGCCAGGAGATGGGCTCAGAGAAGACCCTGGGGATGGGGACGACCAAGAGCTCAGGGGTGTCAGGGGGCAGGGGGCGTGAGCCTGAAGCCATGTCTGTCTCCCCCAGATGAGTGACCGAGGTGGGGGAGTCCCCCTGAGGAAGATCGAGCGACTCTTTAGCTACATGTACTCCACGGCGCCCACTCCCCAGCCTGGCACCGGAGGGACCCCACTGGTGAGATGGTCTCCCTCCTGTGCCCCCCACCTCCTACAGGATGCCTGTCTTTTCACCGCTTCTCATCAAACTGTCCCTCTCCCCATCTTTCGCCTCACCTCCCATGGTCTTCGTTCTTGCGTGGCTGTATGTGGTGTCAGTCACCTCCCCCCACTCCCGGCCCCTCTGCCCCTCACAGCCCCCCGAGCCGGCAGCCGCTGCCCTCCCTCCTGAGCTGCCGGTGTCTGTCACCTTCCCTCAGTTCTCCCTCTCCCTTTCGTACGCCATGAAGTTCACTCATCAGCACCTCTCTGTCATGCCCAGCAGAGCAGGTGGGGCTGGGTTTGGGAACTTGAGACCCAGGAGCCCCGTGACCTGTCCACACCCGCTTGTCCAGACCTGCTGGCTCCTAGGGCTGAGCTCTTCTGCCAGCCCCGCTGACTACCATCCACAGCTGGGACTGCTCCGCCTTTCTGGCCCCACCAGACTGACTGCCCTCACCCCCGGGGGATTCTGGGAAGCCCCTGGCCCGACCCCAACTCAGTGCATTGGTCCCTTGGCTCCAGGAAGCGCAGCACCAGCCTCCTGGTCACGCTCCCTTCCTGCCCCCTTGTAGGCTGGCTTCGGGTACGGGCTCCCTATCTCCCGCCTCTATGCCAAGTACTTCCAGGGAGACCTGCAGCTCTTCTCCATGGAGGGCTTTGGGACCGACGCCGTCATCTATCTCAAGGTGAGGGTCCTGGTGCAGGGCCCAGCTTGCGGGGTGTGCGGGCCGGTCAGCCCGCTGGTAGGTTTCGTCTCTACCCCTGCACTCCTTTCCTCATTCCAGACTGGGAATCAGAGCAAAGCTGCAGTTCCACAGCCTGCAGACACTCCCAGCTCGGCAGGCAGTTCAAGGAAGTCCCTGGCCCATGACTAAGACCCCTGTTCTGGGGACCTTGGACTTCTTATACACAGAAGGAAGGGGGGTACCATAGAGAACTTGTCATTCAGCTCGGGGGCAGACTGAGGCCCAGAATTGGTGACCTTCTTCAAGGTCACAGCCCACCTTCCCTCTACCTCCCTGACCCTTTGAGTGAGTAGCCTTCTGGAATGGGCAGGAGCAAGGCAAAGAAGCGACAGGTCCTTTCATGGGTCTTTCTGGGCCGGGGTTCGTTGTCTCGGCCAGTGTCTGGCACCTAGCTGGGCTGACTCAGACACAGGGTGGGACGCGGGGGCCATGGTCTGACACCACCACAACCCACCCTGGGAAAAGGGTGCCTGACCGAGAAGTGGGTGAGGCACGGGGAAGTGAGACAGGCTGACCCCGGTGCTCTCCAGGCCCTGTCCACGGACTCGGTGGAACGCCTGCCCGTCTACAACAAGTCAGCCTGGCGCCACTACCAGACCATCCAGGAGGCTGGCGACTGGTGTGTGCCCAGCACAGAGCCGAAGAACACGTCCACGTACCGTGTCAGCTAAGGGCCGCCGGACTCCCCTGCACCGGAGGGGAGAGACTGCTGTCTCCGGGACTGACCACCACGGTGCCCCTCCTCATCCCCCCCAGGTGGGGAGTGGCTCTCCCTGACGACCAGCTTCTGTCTCTATGGAAATCTCTGCGGTGACCAGTCTGTGGTCTAAGTGCCAATCTCCGTCTCCACGCAGACCCCTTGGTGGTCTCCCTGCTGTTCAGTCTCTGTGGGCGATGCCTAAGGTTGGGGGACATCTCTATCCTGATGCGGGGGGGGGAGTCCCCAGAGCCATGTTTCCATGGCAGTCCTCCTTCTGAGACCAGAGCTGCCACTTTTCTGCCAGGGGTCCAGGGTCCCCCTCACTGCCCTCCACAGCCCTGGCCTTCCAAGTGGACACTCTGCTCGCCTTATCCCCCGGCCCGTGCAGGCACCCAGGCCCTGGCCCCGGGTCAGTGTTAGCAAGGGGCTGGATGTCCCTGGGTAGAGAAGGGGGTTGCACCCTCAGGCCCCTGGCTGGGGACCTGGTCCTGCAGTCTCTCCCTCCACCCTAAGCTGGAAGGTCAAGGTTAGGAGGGGGCAGTTCTCACCCAGGGCTCACCCTTAATGTGAAGGAACCTGGGAGGACTTGGAGATCAGCTGCCCAGCCAAGCTGCTCAGAGCCCCTCAGGTGCCTCCCAAACCTTTCCCCAGCATGTCCTCACATGCACACGGCCACCTGCACGCCCCACACCCACACGGTCCTGCCTGAGCTCCAGACCCCCACTCCCCCCGTGCCTGGACACGCACGTGCTTGGGGTGGCTTTCTCCCTAGAAGGCTCTATGTACATACCTAGTTTTATAGCCCCAAAAGCCCCCACCCTTCCCCTCAGCACACAGGGGTTAAAGTTGTGTGCCCACCCCCAGTGGCTGGGATGATGGCCGTGACATCACAATAAAGAGGAGACTGAATGAGACCATGGCCTGGCTGCTTTCCCAGGGGGCGGCGGCGGGGGGCGGGGGGGGGGAATGTGCAGGCACAAACCACGCAGAGTGCAGGCCCTGTGACTACCATATGACGCGCTCGGGACACCCAGCCCAGGGCATGACTCAGTGTGTTCCACGAGCACACCACCAGGCAGAGCCATCCCTTCCTGAACACCTGATAGGGCGGCCGCTGGGGACAGACGCTCTCCCCCCAGCACACTCAGGGCCCAGCCTCCCAGTGGGGGCAGACAGAGGTCACTGGCACATCATAAGTGTTTATTGAAATAAATTGAGTACCACCCCCCTTCACATGCAGGTGGGTGCCCCTATAGCTCCTGATGATAGTTTCAAAGGCCTGGGTGCCTTCCACCCTCCCCACCAGCCCCTCCAACAGGCCCCGATGGTGCCGATGCCCCCATGTCTCAGTTTCCACGGCAGCTCCTCTCCCCGCACGGACAGCAGAGAGGGGTAAAGGGCTGAATCCCAGGAACGGGACCGTGGCCAGAGCAGGGGTGGCCTTGAAGCCACAGCCCCTGAGCAGGAACGAGGGGAGCTGGCATGCACTGGGTCCTGTCCGCCACTCCAGGCAGGTGGAGGTGGAGAGGGACTTCTAATCAGAGGGCCCCCAGCCCCATTGGTCACTGGCCAATCCTCCAAAAGCTGCTGGCCCGCGCTGCACCTGAACGCTCCCTCCTTACAAGGATAGATGTCATCCCTGGGCTGCTGGGATGGATTCCCACCCCCACCCAGGGGCCTGGCCCACCCTTCCTTGGGGCCCACCGAACCAGAGCCTGCACGGTCTGCCGGTTCTGGAACCCACTGAGGCCCTGACAGGGACCAGAGCAGATGGGGGAAGGCTGATGAACCCTTCCAGTAGATTCCAGGGGAACTCCCAGATTTTGCCTCTCTACCTGGCTGGGGTGAGGATTCACCCGTTCAGTGCCACCTAGGCATTGGTGGGGGGTGTCCTCTGTCACCACCCCCCCAGCTCCCAAGTTTGCTCTGTCCCCAGAGAGGGCTCAGCTGTCCTCCGAGGGAGCAACAGAAGTGGGCCCTGTGTTAGAGAGCAGGTCAAAGACCAGGCCTTGAGTGGGCCCCAGGAGGGGCAGACCTGTATGGATGTCATCTCACCATTGGGACCCACAGGACAGGGAAGGGGAAGGCGAAGGACGTTTTCACCGTCCCTTCCTGCTCCGAAAGTCCTGGCAAAGATCGCCTGGGATAAGCATGTGGCTCTCTCTGCTCTCCCGCTGAGTGCAGACTGGGAGTCTACCCTGAGTGCAGGTTGCTGCAGCGCCTACCAGCCTCCCTTGGGAGCGGAAGCCAGCTCTCCCAGCACACAGCCCCCTTGGAGAGCTGGAGAGGAGCAAGTCTGTCCACCCGCTCCTGCCGAGATGCTTCCTACCTCTCTGAGCCCTAGGACCCGGGCCCCATCTCAGAGCCTCTAGAAGGCAGGCAGGCCGGCAGGTGTCCTAGCTCACTGCCGGCCAGCACCGCCGTGGCCTGAGGGCAGAGGGTCAGACTGACCCAGGTGCCTCAGGGTTCCCAGACTTGCTTTGGCCCTGGCCTATCTGTCCTCTGCCCATAACCTGCCAGCTCCCCTAGGAATTCTGTGCCAAACAAGTCCTTAAAACTGGATTTATTCCTGGGCCTTCTCCTGGGGTCTCCTTTTCTGGGGGATCTGGGTCCAGACAGTGACAGGGTGAGAGAGGGCATGTACCCCCCGAGAGTGTGGGGCCGGGCCAGCCCAAGCTTGGCGCCCAGGCCCCGCCTGCCCACTGAGGCCTGTGCCCACCGAGCCCGGCGGCCACCAGCGCCTGGGTGCCAGTGCCTGCCCCCCCGCCATCCCCTAGCTCTTCTTGGCCTCCTGCTCCCTGCGCCGGAGCTTCTCACGCTGCCGTGCGGCTTTCTCCTGGGCCTTGCGCTCCTTCTCAGCGGCTGCTGCCAGCTCCTTTACCTTCCGCTTCACTAGCGTCCGGTCATGCGAGTTGCTGAGCCCCAGGCTCTGGGGAGGAATTCAAGGGTGAGGGAAAGAGCCCCAGAAGCACTCGGGCCCTGGCCAACCCCAGCCCCCGGTTCTCTGTGCCCCAGGTGTACCCTGCCTGGGGCTCGGCCAGTCCTCCCAGAAATGTGGCTTCCACCTCCCAGACTGGCCCGGGGATCAGAACGCTCAGGGCAAGAATTCTGAATGGGAGCGTTTGGGAAAGATGCTGATGGAGGGTAGGAGACCTTTTGCCCCCCCTGCCCCCACCCCCGGCAATCCTCGGCTCCCATTCCTCCACTCAGGAGTTCAGCCTTGGCACGATCCTGCCCAGCCCCCTGAGGCCCACAGATAGGGAATGACTTGCCCAAGGTCACACTGCTAGACAGTGGCTGAGGCCCCTCCCCACTCCACAGACTTCCTGGGAGCCTCTCCTCACCACCTCTTGCCTAAACAATGTATTGGAGGGTGGGGAACAGGCCAGAAACCTCCCAGCACAGAGATCTGAGCACCCCCGCCCCCCCCCAACCTCCCCTGACTACCAGCAGCCTCTAAGACTGAGAATCAGGCAAGGTGATTAAGGAGAGGCCTGGTTTCCTATGACAGCAAGAAACTCAGAATCAAGAGCCAGGTGATATGATGGTCCTAGTTCAATGTTAACCTGGAGACTTGGGCTGGGGCTTGAAGGTCAAACTGAAGGATGGGGCTCGAGTTTCGAGTCCGACGGGGGACCCATGCTAGAGTGCAAAGATCAGGCTGAGGACCTTGCCCAGAGGTCAGAGGTCAGGGCAGCGGCCTTAGGGGCAATGAAAGATGGGGGGGGCGGGGGGAATCCCAATCCTGGAAGGTTGCCTTGGGCTCCAGCTGGGTCACGGCTCTCCTCCTCTGACCCACCTTCAGTTTGCTTCCATCCAGCTGCAGGAGCTGGGGCCCATCCACCTGCCGCGCAGCGAACTCGGCGGCATACTGCTCCAGGTTGAGGCTGTGCAGCCACTGGCCCACCTGCTGGCTGGTCCAGTGGTGGACAGTGGGGAGAGGTTCATCCAGGAACTGGGGTGGAGACCAAGGACGGTGAGGGGGAAGACATGGCCCGTGGCCTGCACCCCCGACGCTCAGAGGGCAGGGCTTGCTTACCTCATCCGAAGACTGGGACAGCGTGTGGTAGGGGTAGGAGCATTTGGTCTCCTGCCGGGGCCCACTTGGGATCTTGGGGCTGCTGCTAGGGGGTGTGGAGTCATCACTCAGGGTGGATTCCTAGAGAGGAGGGGTGCAAGCCGCTGAGGAGAGAGCTCACCCCCAAGCCAAAGGGAGTCTCCCCAACCCACTGCTCCCATTTGAATGGAGCTGAAGTTGGGAACTGAGCACCAGGAGTTGCTCAGTGCCTCCTGTGCGTAAACCAGGAGCTGGGCAGGCACATAGGACATGGTGACTCATGGGAGGCATCAGGATGTTAAGGCTTCTAGGAGGTTGTGGGGCTAGAAGTGAGGCAGAATAGTTAGCAGGGATGGCAGAGGTCTCAGATTGGGTGTCCCTTCCTGCAGGCAGCCGACCAGGATTCCCCGAGGCTAGGTCAGGGGTCCTCCCTTTGTGCCTCCCCATCATAGCCTCTAGCACCCTGGCTTCTAAGGGCCTGGGCAGAGATGATGAGCTCTATGAGGCCCTGGGCTGTCTGTTCACCATGCACGAGGGAAGGAAGAGACGGAGGGAGTCTGCGCAGGGAGTGAGGAAATCAGGAAGTCCCAAGTCAGATGGAACTCTTTCTCCCCTGAATACTCCCAGCTTTCCGATCTCCTCTGCCCCAGTAGCACATAAGGAACAACCACAGAGCCGGCATGGAGCCTGGCAGCAAACCCACGTGGCAAGTCCCTTCTCTCTGGCCTTCATTCGTTCATCTGGACAACCGGGCGAAACGTGCCTGCGCTTTATGACGGAAAAGCACAAGTAGCACTTGGGGCCTTGTATGGTGTAGAGTGCAGCATGAGCGGGAGACACTTGTGGCTGCTTCTGTCCCCCACTTCTCCCCGCTTCCTGAGCACTAGCTAGAGTGCGCCCCTTTCATCCCAGTTCGCTCCAAGCCTCACCCCATCACACAGGTAGCCCAGCGGCTGATTCAGGACGTGGGGAGCCAGGCAGAAGATTTAGGGTGCATGGAGGAGGCCTCAGGCTGGGTGGATAACGGGGTGGGGGGGGGACTAGCGTTCAGTGTGTTGAATGTGGTGAATGACTCGATGGAGGAACTACTCAGAATATGAATGAGGGAACAAGCGAATGAATGAACTCAGAGAATGGATGAACTAATGAATCACTGAATGGCTCCATGGACAGACAAATGGACTCCAGGAGTGCCTGGATCCCAGCCGCAGCCAGGGGGAAGTGCCACCCCCTCATGTCACCTGAGTCTGGGGCCAGTACGGGGGCAGGGAGGCCATGGACTCACCTGAGAAGCTGACTTCTTAGGGCTGAAGCCCTCGTGTTTAGGGGAGCAGGCGGGCGAGGTGGTGCTGCCAGAGGACGCCGAGCCCTTGCCGCTGTCTGTGAACCAGGAAAAGGGCAGGAACGGGGAGCCCCCTGACCTGCCGGACCCCTCCACTGACTCCCTGTGGAGAGAGCACCCAGCACGGGCGTGGGCACCATGGGGAGGGCCGGGCCCCCAGGGGAACTCCGGGCAGAAGCTGTGGCTGAGGCACAGTGCGGATGGCTTACCTGCTGCCCATGGACAAGCGGTTGCTGCCCTTGTCCTTCCGGCTCTTGCTAGTGGATGCTCGGCGTAAGGTGACCCTGTGCGGAGGGCAGGGGGGAGTGGGGCAGTGCTGCCCACTGTGCTACCCTGCACCCCAAAGCTCCAAGCCTTTGCTTCTGGCCCCTTCTCCACTCACCCCAGGTCCAGGAATTTTCGGCGAGTCTTCTTATCCAGGCCGATGGTGGGGCTGGCAGGCTCAGGCGGGCTGGCATCCCGGCTGTCATCTTTTGGGGAAGAGGGGGAAGGAAATAGCCCATGTGGTGGCTTGCCTGCCTCCTTCCGCTGCCTCTTTCAACTTAGAAGCAGGCAAGTTGGCTCGGGTGCCCTTCACTAGCTGTGTGACTTTGGACAAATCACTCTACCTCTCTGAGCTTCCTTCATCTCAAATATGGGGCTAACCCCTGACCCACACGAACACCTGCCTATTTCATGGAATATTTATGGAAGTTTTATGCAAACCATGAAAAAGTAGGGACCGCTACTATTCACTGTTCATTTTATCCTTACTTTTAACCAGCTTTCCAATCTTGGCTCACGTGTCACTTCCTCCGAGAAGCCTTACAGGAGGCTCCCCACCAGGTCTTTACCCCCCATCCCCGACGCAACTGTGTACGTTTCTCACATAGCATTTATTATGACCTGTAACTATACATTTAATTAAGGGATTATTTGATCACTTCTCCCTTAAACTAGAGGAATTATTAGATTGTTTCTCCCCAAAACTGCAAGCCTCATGACCGCAAAGACTGCCTCTGTTTCCTTACTTGTGAGTCCCAGTGCCCAACAGTGTCTGGTACATAGTAGGTGCTCAGGAAGTGATGGCGGGAGCCGCAGTGTGTCCCCCGTCCCCTCGCCCCCCTCGCCCCCAGCCGCCCTGCCCCACTTGGTCCAGCCCTCCCCTTCGGGGGCCGCTGCAGTCCCAGCGCTCGCCAGCAGGGGGCGCCGCGCCGACGGCCGCTCACCTTCGCTGTGGGGCTCAGCGCGCGGATGGCGGCGCACGAAGCTGGGCGAGCTGTCCGAGGAGGGCGCGGAGCGCGGCGGCGAGCAGGACGCGGCGGCCAGGCCCTCGTGCGAGGCGGCGTTGTGCAGGGGCCGGTAGCGTGTGAGCGGCGAGGGCGGGGGCTCGTCTTCGTCCAGACTGCGCCGTAACCCCGGAGGCTCCAGGCAGAAAGAGCCCCCGGCCGGGGACCCCGGGCCCGAGTGCAGAGGCGAGCGCAGCCGGTGCAGGGGGCTCCCGCAGCCGTCGGTCACCTGGGGGAGGGGGTGGCCGCTCACTGCCAACCCTCCTCCCCGCTTCCCCGAGAGGCTGGGAGTTGCTTTCACCAGGCAAACTGCGAGGGAGCCCCCAGAGGGAGGAGCCCGGACTCGGGTCCTTGGGGGACCTGGAAGGAAGGGTTGTCCTCGTGTCCCTGGGGGTGGCTGGGCAGTGAGAGGTGGGCGCTGGGGGGCCTTCAGCCACGTAGGCTGGGGTTGAATCCCACTTCCCTCACTTCCTAACTGGGTGACCTTGTTACTGAACCTCTCGGAGCCTCAGTTTCCCCACGTGTAAGATGGGAATAATAATACCTCCCTTAAAAGTTTCACCCAAGCCAGAGTGAATGCAGGTAATCTTTGTTGGCATTACTATGGCAGAAGTCTGGGAGTGTGGTTTCCCTGGAAAAGGGTTTGGGGGGATTGTCCGGGCCGGAGAGGGTGGGTAGGGTATTAGTGATTGGGTGGGTTGCCCCAACCTTGCCTCCGGGCCCGTCGGAGCCTTCACCATCCTCTGCAGAGCTGGCGCTGTCCCGAAGCCTGGAGCGGGAGGGCCGGTGTCTCCGGCCCTTGGCCAGTAGTTGGGCTCGGGCCTTGTGTAAACTGCTGTCCAGTCTGACGGTCTCTGGCACAGCCAAGTCCAGGTCTGTGAACCAGGTGAAGGGGGCAGAGACCAGACACGTGAGGACAGCAGGCCTGTGAGCGCCTCAGGCCTCCCGCACTCACACCCCAGACATCCGGCAAACGTTTCTGAGTGCCCCGCGCTGGGGGTACAGATGAGATGGAGAACGGGGTCCCTCACAGTCTCGGAGGCAGGAAACACAGCAGTGTGGTGGGGTCTCTGACGGGCACGCAGGAGCACAGGACTGTCCTGTTTGGATGGGTCAGGGGAGGAAGCACCACAGCTGGTCTAAGGTCTGGGTGGGAGTTTACAAGAGAGGCGGTTGGTGAGATGGTATATGCAATGCTGGGAAGTAGGGAAGCGCAGGGGGGCGGGGGGGGCCCTTCCAGGGCACCTGGAGGGTAGGTCTGTGGAGAGGAGGGCTGGGGATGAGACCAGACCAATCATGGTAATAAGAGCTACCATTTAAGACGTGCCTACTACGTGCCAGAATGTTCATACAGCACCTCATCTACTCAAAACAACCCAGGGAGCTGGGGACAGCTATTATGCACATTTTACGCATTTTATAGCTGCGCCAACTAAGGCTCAGAGAGGTTCAGTCCCTTGCCTGCAGCCACCAGCTAGCGGTGGTCCAGGCTGGCTCTGAGCCTGACTAGTGTGGCTCCAGAGACTGGCCGCGCTGGGACCCTGGCTTGCTGTGCCATGCCCAGGGCTGCCCTCAGACCCAGCCCTGCTGACGGGAACATAGCAGCGGCATCAAGAAAACCCCAGTCCCCACGCGGCCTGCCTCTCCCATCCTGGGGTCAGTGGTGTGGGGCTGGGTTGAAGTGGGATGAAGACATGGAAGAAGAGTAGGCAAACCCAATGGATCGTGCACAAACCCTGCTGCTCCTAGTTTCTCTTCTTACTTGCTCTGGGGAATGAAGTCCCCAAGCTTGGGGTCTCCATACAGAAGAGCCTCTTCCCAGACCTCAGAATGGGTTAAGACCTCTGTTCCCCACTCCCCCCGCCCCATGATCTCGGGGTTCTGCCATCTCATCCCTCATGCTGGCCCTGCCTTGCCTCTTCCTCTTATTCTTGTCAGCAGATACCCCCTAAGCCACCCACCCCAGTTGCTGGCCTGGCTTCACTATCACCTATTGGTTCAGCCCTAAGCCCTCCCTGAATTCCAAGCCCGGGCACCTCAGCACCCACCAGGGAACTTGCCGTCTCAAAGGCACCTGGGTCCCCAAAATATCTATCGGGATGAACCCACCACCTTGCTTCAGACCGGCTTCCCCTTTGTTCCTCGGCTCCATGAAAGGCCCCATTGTCCACCCAATGCAGACAGCCCCGAGCTACGGTTCGCCCCCAGCCCCAGCTCCAGCCCCAGCCAGCGGTTCAAGAGTCCCGCTGCCTCCCGGCCCCCTCCCCTTGGATGTGCCACGGGCAGCTTCGGCGTCCGTGTCCAGCTGTGACTGGCTGCTCCATCTCACCCGCAGCTCAGGCCAAGCGCTGGAGTCGCCCTTGACTCTCTTTCCCTCCACACTCATCTAGCCACAATTCCTGTTAGTTCTACCTTCGAAATGTATGTAGACATACTGAGATACTGATGGTGAAGTGGTACGATGTTTTGGATTAGGTTCAAAATAATCCCGGGGAACAGGAGTGGGGAGAGATGGATGGCTGGCCACGACCCGATGACCACGGAGCGACAGTAGCAGAACGCACGGTGGGATGCATCAGGCCCGTCCCTGTACGCCTCACTCCCTGCAGTAACATTGCTGTTCGTGTGTGTGTGTGTGTGTGTGTGTGTGCGCGCGCGCCCGCGCGCGCACCGGCAGCCTACACACGGAGCCTACACACAGAGCCGGAGAGGAGACGGAGTAGGGGAGGAAGAGAGAAGAGGAGGGGAGGGGACGGCAGGGGAGGAGAGAGGAGAGGGGGACACACAGCCTCCCTGGTCTAGATCACTATCACCTCCTGCCTCAATTATTACAAAAGCCTCCCGGCTGGTCTTCCCTTTTCCTCCCTTTCCCGCTTACAGTCTATTTTCAACACCGCAGCAGCCAGAGTGATCCTGATAAAACATGTCAGCCCTTGTCACTGCTCTGCTCTGGGGACTTCCATCTCACACAGAGTAAGTGCCAAGTTCTCCCAGGGGCCTTCCGGACTCAGACTGTGCTCCCCTTACCTCTCTGAGCTTCTACTTCTCTCCCTCTTGCTCCCTCCTCCCGGGCCGTCCTCGCCTCCTGGCTCTTCCTCACACAAGCCTCACTGTACCTCAGGGCCTTTGCGCTTCCTCTTCCCATTTCCTGCAAGGCTCTTGCCACAGATCTCTGCAAGGTTCTCTCCTTTGCCTCCTTCAGGCCTTTGCTTAAATGCTTTCTATCCCTGAGGACCTTACTGACCACTCAATGTACAGTTCCCCCCAGAACCCCAACCTGGTTTTTCCCTACGTCGTGTGTCATTCTCTGGCATGCTGTATATTTTACTTACTTAGTTTATTGTCTCTCCACTCGTTAGAATGTCAGCTCCGTGACGGCAGACATTCCTCTATTTTGTTCACTGCTCTAACCCAGGGTGGTGTCTGGCACATAGTAGGTGCTTAGTAAATATGATTTTAATGGCCAAAAAAAACCCCACACACAGTTCTGTTGATTTGCCTTCCTCACAGCCCTGGAACGTGGCCTCTCCATGGCCTCTCCTCTCCCTCGGACTGAGCTGCCTTACTCAGGTCTTCACCAGGCCCTCCCCCAAGCCCTGCCCCCTAAGCATGGCTCAGCCTCCAGCCATCCTGCACTCCCTGCCTCCGGGGTCTGCCTCCCTCCCCACTTCCCACAAGCTAGAAGACACTTTCTAAAGCACATTTCTGACTCCGTCCTATAATGGCAGGGCTGAGGTGGGAGTGTGTGTGTTGGGGGTTGGGGAGCGGGTCCCAAAGCCAGTAACATAAAGTGCATGCCCCTCAGCCCTCCAGTCAGGCTCGGGGTTGGGGGGTCCCAGCTCCCCCTTTCTGTGTTCCCCACATTTCCTCCTCAGCACAGCATGCTCTTGCAAGGACCACGGGTAAGAGCCGGCTGGCCAGGGCTGAGTCCAGTTCCGCCATTTGCCAACTGGGTGACTCTGGACAAGTTCCTTACATTTATAGGCTGGCCTCCTCATCAGTAAAATGGGGTCGTAAGAGGAGTATCTTCCTTCCAGGGTTGTGTGAGCGTCAAATAAGGTAACCCAGATAAAGCGCTTCGCCAGAATGCCCGTGGCTACGAGCAGGCACGAGCTGCCGGGGCGCAGGGTGGCGTGAGCGGCACTAAGCTGCTGACCACTCCCGGATCCCAGCCTCCACCTCCCTTTCCTGCCTCTGACCGCGCACGCGCGGCTCTCTCGGCTCCACCGCCCCCCACCCCCTCGTCTGTCCCCTCAAATCCCTCCTTCCCCAGCCCCATGGGACAGCTGCACCTCTGCAGCCCTGGCACGACATCTGGTCAGAAGGGACCGTCCCGTTTGCCAGTCTGCGCACTGCAGAGGGGCAAGCCCTTCGCTGTCCCCTGGGGACCGAGAGAGCCGGGTGCGGGGCCTGGCGGAGAGCAGAGGCTCGGTCGATGTTGATGAAGCCAAGTCACACTTCGGGGCCAGGGCACAGCCAGGCAGAGATGGCCTCAAGGCACAGGGAAGCGCTGATGCCCACACTCCGTCACATCCATACCCCGCGCCCCTCTGAGGAGCACTCCTCCCCAGGACATGTTCCTCATCGTGGGTCATGTGTGCCCCAGGGTCGGCCCCCTGCTTGCCCCCGCCCTGGCACTCAGGCCCCACGAGGGCAGTGACTGTCTCGCTGGGGCCTCACACAGGGCCTGGCACACGGAAGGGGCTCCGTGGTATTTGTGGAGGGGGAGAAAGAGACAGGCAGGGGCTGGGGGCTCTATTTTAGGTGAGGCAGCCAGGCTGAGGAGAGAGCCAAGGTTGTAGGAAGAACAAGAAGGAGCTTTCTAAGGAGAAGGGATGGTGTGGGCCAGTGGAGCCTGCAAGGGGAGGGGACTGGCCTGGCCCCAGGGGGCAGGGGAGGGTGGACCCCCACAGGGCCTGTGCAGGTGTCCTGGGGCAGCGATGGGGCCTTGGCGAGGGGAGAGGTCCTGTCAAAGGACTGCTATTTGGGACCCCAGGCTTGACACCACTCCTCTAGCTCCTTCACTGCCCCTGCTTTGTTTCTGGTGTTTCCAAGCCCTGCGGCTGAGCTGAGGGAGGGAGCCCTCCTCCATCCCCCGCTCCCCAACAACACGACACAGCATCTCCAAGCATTATCTGCAAGCAGCAAGGATTGAGGACCGAACCACAGAATAATAATTGCTAATCCTTATTGAGTTCTCACTGTGCTAGGCACCCGTTCTAAGTGCTTCACAATTACTAGCTCATTTAAACTCCCCACAACCCTAGGAGGAAGAGACTCCAGGAATCCCCAGGGCATCTGGCCACTGAAGAGAGTGGCCAGGGTTACAGGCAGTCTTGGCTCCCGAGGCTCAGTGTGTAACCATCAAGCCTGCTACACCTCCTCTGAGGCAGAGATGGGGGTGAGTCGTGAGTCCAACCCCTCATTTTACAGGTGGGGAAACTGGGGCTCAGAGAGGAAAGGTTTGGCCAGGGGTGGAGAGGGAGTTAAGGACAGCATCCAGGCCTCCTGGCTCCCGGACTAGTGTTCTTGCTGTTCTGGGCGGCAGGGCAGGGAGCTGTGGAACACCCTCTCTACCTCCAGCCCTCGCCAGGTGCCCAGCCCCCCAAAGCCAGGGAGAAGGGCCCTTCTCCTGACTCTGGGCCACATCAGAACTTCGGGGCGGCTTACCTTGGAGGGTGTAGGCAGCAAAGGAAGTCCTAGGGGGCTGAGGTATTTTCGAGGCAAGGTGGGGCCAGCCTCCCCTCTGGCCCCTGCTCTACTTGGCTCCCTGGCCTCCCTCCATCTCTGTGCAGGTCTGTCTCTCTGTCTTTCTCTCCCCAGCCCAGGGCAGTGGGGAGTCATGAATATTTCATTGCCTTTCACATCAGGAAGCAGGCAAGGCGGCCAGCTACCTCCAGCTACCTCAGCAGGTCAGGGAGAAGGAACACAGGAAGAGTTGGGGTTGGGGGTGGGAATGGAGGCCCAGAAGCCTAGGACAGGGGGAGCTCACTTCTGTCAGGCCAGGCCTGGGTGCAGATGGTGGGACCCTAGAGTCTGAGGCCCAAAGACAGCTGGAGGCTGGAGGAGTCCTGGAGGCAAACCCTCCATTCCATGGGCCGCAGGGAGGCTGGGAAAACAGCGTTCCCAGGAGCCGGGAGGCAGCACTTCCTGGCTGTGCCAGGGCATATGGCTGCACAGGGGAGAAGGGGGTGAGCTGGGGAGAGGGAGGAGGGGAGGGGAGGGGAGGGAAGGGAGAGACAAGGAGAAGCCAGGAGCCCCTTGAGGTTGCGCACACCAACATGAGAGTCCCAAGGGCTGCGCACATGCTACAGGCTTCGGGCAACAGCTTCTGTCTCCACCTCTCCCTCCATGTTCCTCATGACCCTCCCTGTCCCTTGCTCCCTGACTCCTCCACCAAATCCAGCTGGGAACCAGCCTTTCCACCCCGGTGCATGCTGGGAACTCTGCCCTGCCAGGGTGGGCTTTCCCCACACTGCCCAACAGCAAGACCGCAGGGGTTACATGATGGTGCAGGCAGGCGTGTGCATGCTCCCCGGTGTGTACGGAGCTGGGGTGGGCCTGCGGGCACTGAGGCTCTGCGTTCTGTGCATTTGATTTCCACGCATACCCTGCAGACTGAGGGCCGTTACCATGAGATGTGGAGGCAATGGCTGTCACCTGGGTGGGGATTCAGGTGTACAGCCGCCCAGTCCGGACTTCTAGTCCCAGCTCTGCCACTGACCTGCCACCTGATCTTTAAAGCAAGTCACTCCGGCACTCTGTGCTCTCGGCTCCTTGTCTGTACAATGGGCACATCTCTTGGCCTTATTGTGGGGCATAAACGACATTGTGAGATGGGGCTGTCAGCCTAGTGAGACAGCACTTTCTAAATGGAGACCGTGATTGTTGTGGTTGTCATAGGCATAGAGTGTCATGACAGAGACTCGGGCTGCCAGGCCACAATACACACACACCCACAAAGACACACACTGGAGTCCCAGGGGAATCCCCCACCTCGCCCCAGTGCCTGTGGCTTTGGCTAGAGTTAGAGCAAACAGAACTTACCAAAAACCTCATCCGCAGGTTCTCGTAGCTTTGAAGAAGCCATGACTCAAGAGAGCTGAGGAGAATGGGGGGGCGGGGCAGAGAGAGAGAGAGAGAGAGAGACTATGGGTAAGAGGTTCAGGTTGGTGGAGGGAAACAAGGGAGCTACCCCTGGCTGCCTGCTCCTGGCCTTCTGGTCCCTCACCTTCCCTTCCTCCAGCCCCTTGGAAGAGAAATTGTCTGAACCATACTCCAGACGGTAGGAGTTGGGGCAGGAGGCAGAAGTAAAAGAGTAGGGGCAGAAGCAAATCCAGGGTGTAGACACAGGCTGAGTCCTGGGATTCTGGTCCAAGCTGATTTGCTGTGTGCATTCACATGGCTCACTGAACTCCCCGCCCCCCGACTTCAATGTCTGGGGCCTTTCCATCATCAGCATTCCCTCAAAATGTTTGATCATCATAAATCGTCCAACAGCAACCCTGGGAGAAATCGTGGGAGATTATTAAATCCAGTCCTCTCATTTTCCAAATAAAGAAACAGAGGGGAGAATGACTGGCTTAAGGTCACATAACAAGCCAATGGCAAAATCAGGAGCAGAATCCAGGTCCATCCATCCATCCATCCATCCATCCACCTACCCACCTATTTAGCCATCCATCCACTTGCCCATCCATCCATCCATCCATCCATCCATCCATCCATCCATCCTCCCATCTCTGCATCCATCAGTTCATACTATCCACCCACCCGTCTTCCCATCCATCACCCAGGCCTGCCTGCCCTCCACCCCCCATCACTGGTGTGCTCACCACCTGCCTTCCCGAACATGAGCTGTTCAGGAAGCTGGCACCATCAGCAAGGCCCCTGTTCTTGACAAACTCGCAGTTCTCACAGTTCCAGACAGACTCACAGATGCAGGGTATGAGGAGTACCCACAGCACAACAGTGGACAGCCAAATCTCTGTGATGCAAGTATGTTCCGGCAGGAAGTGTGATGGGTAGGGGTTTGGTTTGGTTTTGCTTTTTGCTGGGAAGAAGGGAGGCAGGTGGGGAAGCAGGACGTACGCAGCTGAACCAGTTTGGGCAGGCTTCCTAGCAGATGCAGGATGGCAGTGGCCCTAAGCCAAAGCCTGGGGGTTAGAGGGGAAGGGGAATACTGGCCAAGGGGACGGGGCAGGGGGGGGGGGGAAGCTCAGCAGCAGGGGCACACGGCACAGCTGGGACATGATCTCCAATGACTGCTAACACTCAGGTGCCCATGAGCAGGGCAGGGCGCTGGGCTGGACATGCATTTGACAGGCATGGGAAGGCTGGGCCTCATGCTGGCTGGAGTCTTTTCCAACATTCCTCTCCTGATATTACATACACATCATCTCACGGTTGAGCTGTATGGTTGAGATTCTTAGTATCCCCACTTTACAGATGGGAAAACTGAGGTGCAGGAGATAAGAGGCGGAATTCAGCCTCCACCTGTCTCCTGCCCTCCAGTGCTATCCTGGGGGATGATCTGCAGTTTTGGAGGGTACGCATGAGGAGAGGATCCTGCGGGGAGAAGGGAGAAAAGTAGAGGAAGGGGGGCTGGCCATACTGTCTAGGATTGGGAGAAGCTTCTAAACCATCTCCACCCCAAGCTCCATGGATGCTTGGGGCTGAAAGCAGGAAATGAGGTATGAGAAGGGGCCAGGGGACGTGGGCCCTCCAAGAACTCTCTTGCCATTCTTGAACTCTGGGTGCTAGTAGCAAAGAAATTCTAGAACCTCTCTTCCTGCCTGAAGGGCCATCTTGGAAGGGAGGCTGCCCCAGAGAATGAGTGAAATTCCCTCATTCAATCACAAAGCCTCATCTGACCAGGACCTGGCTGCCCCCTCCTCCGGGATTTTGGCCTAGACAACCGTCTTCCTCCCATTTGTCCACACAATTTCTAAATTCACTCTTCCCCAACCACTGGGAAATAGGGGTTTTTCATACTTCACTGATTCCCTAAATGGGTCCTATCTCCCCTGCATCAGATGGGAGCTCCCTGAGGAGAAGGGAGGGTATTCCCCCATCAGATTAGGGGCTCCCTGAAGATAAGAAGGGCCTCTCCCAACAGAATGGAGGCTCCCTGAGGTCAGTAGTGGTGCCTCCTCTCTTAGATTAGCTGAGAATGGAGATCCCATGTGTTCTTTATTCAAAGTCTCAGTCCAGGGTGAAGACCCCCTTGTGGATAGAGTCCTCTTTCAGGTATCCTCTGGGGTAGGCTGGGCCTTCCAGCTCACACCTGTGCCTAATCCATCCTGATTCAGCACAAATGGCTTCTTTCCCTCCCTCAACCACTCACTCCCTGGGGTGTGTATGGGGGGGGGGCCCATCCTACACTGTTCCACGGGCAACTCCGGGAAGCAGGCCATCCAAGAGGTCACCGGGCCCCTCTCACCAAAACTGAGCTTTGGAAAACCACCCCCCCCAACACACACACACACACACACACACACACACACTCATGGGCACACATTTAACCAGGAACTGCCCCAAAGTGGAAATGAACCTGTCCCTCTGGACACAGTCTGGGCACCGGTGCTACCAGGCCACTCCCTCCTCCCAAAGCTTCCAATTCCCAGGGGAGTGGCACCTATGACCTTTGACTCTTCTCTGGGAGGAAGGGAGGCTTCCTGAGAGCGAGGGAAGGAAAAGAGAAAGGGTGCGCAAGCCCCAGAGGGGAGTGGGAAGAAGGAACAGGGACAGACAGGTTGGTGGATAGTGTCCACAGAGCTACAGAGAGAGGGAAGAAAGAGCAGGAAAGAGATGAGTGGGGCGGGGGAAGCGGTGGTGGAGGCCGGGCTCCCTCGGGCCGGCCGGGAGTGAGGCCCCAGGGAGGGCTGCGAGGAGGGAGCCAAGGGGCGGCTGTAGGGAGAGGGGCGGGCCCGGCGGGGCAGGCAAGAGGAAAGGGGCCAGGGAAGAGGAGAAAGAGACCAAGAAAGAAGTGCAACTGGGAAAGACCGGGAAGGAAAGGCCGGGAGGGGAGGCTGGGGGCAGGGGGGCAGTAGGGAGCTGGAGAAAGCGGGGCCCCCTCCCCTAGGCCCGGGATGCGGGCGAGTGGGACCGCGCTCCCAGCGCCACGGAGGCCGGGGCACCTACCGCACTCCCAGTCCGGGCCGGGCGGCTAGTTTCTCTCCGGTCCAGCCGTCCAACTCCGCGCCGGGCAGGAAGGAGTTAAGCCCTCTCCCCCTCCCCCCACACCAGTTTTTCAAAATTAATTTCTCCAGGAGGGAGAGGATTAGGGACACAAATCCTATCTCCGCCCCCTCCCCCGGCAGCCCAGCACCCCAGCTCCGCGCGCCCCCCCAGGGATGGGGAAGAAAGGCCCTATCCGACCCCACTCAGGGTCCCGCCGCGAGCCCCGGTGACCCCGGCTCTGCTTCCCCGCCCGCGTCGGGGTCCTCACCTCCAGCATCAATCATCTTCAGCGTCCGGCGCCGCGGGAGCCCCTCAGGCCCATGGTGCTCGGGGTGCGGGCCAGGCGGGGAGGGGCGGGGGGCCGTCACCCCGGTCGCGGGGGGCTGCGGGCGGGCTCGAGCTGCTCCATCCCGGGAGAGGGGAGGGCGCGGGCGCCGAGGGTCCGGGAGCCGGAGGGGATGTGGGGGAGGAGCGGGAGAGAAGGAGAGGGTTTGCGGGGAGCGGGAGGCGCGGGCGGGGCTGGACCAGAGCCCTGACGGGAGGATGCTCCGTGCGCGCGCGCGTGTACGCGTGTGTGCGCGCGTGTGTGTGCGCGTGTTTGTGTGTGTGCGTGTGAGCGAGGGAGGAGGGAGGGAGAGAGGGAGAGAGGGAGGGAACCACCTCCCCGCCCGCCCCGCCGCCCGCCGGGCCCCGCCGGACGCAGGCCCCCCGCCGGGCAGGCCGACACGCGTCGCGTCGCGTCGCGTTGCGTCGCGTCCGCTGGGGTCCGCGGGGGTCTCCCGGGAAGGGGCGGTGCGGGGGGCGCGTGGCGGGGAGGCCGGCGCCGGGAGACAAAGAGCGGGAGGGAGGGAGGGAGAGAGAGGGGGCGGAGGCGGCAGGAGGGGAGGGAGGAGGCGGCCCGGCGCGGCGGCCGGGCGAGGGGATTCCGAGTTGCCGCTACTACTCTGGCCGCGGAAGTCCGGGGGGTGGGAGCTGACCCCCCTCTGGACCCACCGGGCTTCCGCCTCCTCTGCGAGGTCTGTCTGGGCTCCCGATTCATCCCGTCTTTGGACTTCCATCGAGCAATCGTGTGCGCCAAGGCCTGAGGGCACCGCGGGGAACTGAACCGCCCGGGCCGAGGCGTCGGGGGCTCGCGGCGTTGTCGGGGGCGGGGGTGGGGGTGGGGAACAGGGCGGGGAACAGGGCAGTGGGGAGGCCCTCAGCAGCCCGGGTGCCCCGGAGCCCCGGTTCACAGAGGACGCTTCGGCGGCGCCGAGACAGCGCACCGGAGGACGCCGGAGCGGCCTGGGGGTGGGTGAGGGTGGACGTGACCCGGGAGCCTTCCAGGTGGAGGTGCTGTGTTGGCTACCCCCGCAGGCCAGGGCTGGGTAGAAGTGTTAGTGGGGCTGGGGGGGGTGGAGGGCGAGAGAGGAAGAGGAGTGGGGCTGCGAAGGTGCAGGGGCGGAGGGAGGGCTTGCAGTTTGTCCTGGGAGCCCGAGGGGAAAGTAACAGAGGAGTGAGGGGCTCAGAGTTGCTTTTTAGGGAGAACTCTTTGGCTCCTCTGTGGAGAGTGGATTGGCGAGGGCAGCCTGAGGCAGGGGTGAGGCTAATGAGTGATGAGGGCGGTGGGCATGAAGATCACAGATCAAGCTGAGCACTATTCAGGATACAGAATGGAAGAAATTGACCAGATTTGGGGACTGCTGGCCACTGAGGGAGAAGGAGGCCTTGGCTTGAGGCTGGAGTCCTGGAGGGAGGGGGACGGGGATGAGATCACACTGGGAGTGATGAGCTGGAGGTTGTGGCAGGCCAGCCCGGGGAGACAGTATACTAATCAACTAAGAGCTACCATACAGTGATGGCGCAGGGTCCAGGCATTGTACTAAGTAAGCACTTTCCCGATTGTCAATGTCCCTCTCAAATAAACCTAGTTGTTTCCATTACCCCCATTTTAAGAGGGGAAAACAAGAGACTTCAAAGAATGAAAGTGGTTTGTTCAAGAGCAAATGGTCAGGTTGGATGGAGGGATCCAGAGCTCAGCGGGGAGGTGTGCAGCCTGTGGGGAAAGAGTTCCCCAAGGGCTGGCTGGAGTCTCTGTTGTCACAGAGGCTGTGGGAGGGGGCATGTTGAGCCAGGATGGTCTTGGGGCTGTGGGTGAAGACTGAATTAATAAGCTTTGAGGGCTGAAGGTATCCTAAGAAATCTGTGGGAGTTTGGGGGTCTCTGTGTGTCTTCAGAATCTGCTGGCAGCCATGTGCTGGCCAGATTGTGGAGATCCGGGGAGGTGGTGGGGACTCTGGGTGACATCCTACAGGGCTAAGTCTGGGGTCTTGAAAGAGGACATGGTTTTCCCACATCTGGTGAGATCTGATGGGAAGGGTTGGTTATATAGGCACTGTAGGGAATAGGGAGATCATGGGTATGTAACATCAGTGCTGGGGGGCAGGGACAGGTTCTGTGGGAGGGTGTCTTCTAGGCTATAGTACCTGGGAGGACCCCCTGTTCTTAGTGATGCCTAATCTCTGGGAGTTCAGAAAATGCCCTTCATTTGATTTCCCTCTCCTATGGCAAGTGTTGGGGTTGTGGCAAACCTGCTCAAGCTCCTAAGAATGGAGCAGGTGACGGGGCAGGGCTGAGGTGACAAGCCTCACATGGGCCTACCCCTGGCCACTTGACAAAGCCCCAAACGTGGACATAGCTCATGGTCATATCACATCTTAGGCCTGAGAAATTCAAAGGAAAGCCACACATAACACCCCCCCCCCCCGCCGTACAACATACTCAGGCTTAGACACTGGGAACCACCTAGCCGACCTTTTGGAATATACAACGTGCAGGCCCCTCACATAATACACAGGACAGATGGGTGGGGGGGCAGCAGGACCTCACCCTGGAAACAGCTCCAGTCAAGCCACCCGGGTTGGTCGGGCCACTTCACTTGGAATTTCTTGGCTAGGTTTCCCAAGCAGGGCCCCAGTGACCTCTGTCTCTGGAGCCATGACCTGTGGCCTTGTGGTTTGGTGGTCTCTGATCTTGGGATTCAGCCACCTGGATCTTTCTTCCCAGAAGCATCCCAAGGTTGATCCACCCAGGGAAGATGCCTTGAGAGGCATGGTCACTATCCCAGGTTTCCAGATGCCCCCCAAGTGGGCGGCAGGCTGGATGGGTGCTCTATGGCCCTGCAGTGTAGAACTAGGATTTTTGAGAGGAAGGGCTTGGAAGCCTGAATTTGCCTTGACATGAGACTTGTGTGACAAAACCATCCTCAAGGGAGTGGCTGTCTCAGGTGCTGACTGCCACCTGGAGTTCTGGTAGAGTCCAGTCATCTCAGGTGCTGTCAGGGACCCATCAGAGTGACCACGAAGAGCCTGATGTTGGTACTTCATTCTTTCGGGCAAAGGGGAATGTGAGAATCCCCTTGGGGGCCAGGCCACTCTCCTGCACGAGTGCCTTATGCTTCTGTTCTCTCACACATACACACACCAGCACCCAGAGCAGGGCAAGGCTGGTGTCGGGGACTGCCAGAGCCTTGGTCCTACTGCCCGCCCCTTGCTCTCTCCGCTCTCTGGGACTTCACCAAATCTTGTCTTTAGAACCCTGGCATCTGGACTGCCAGACCCATTCTATTAAAGCTGGTGAGTTAGCACCCATCCATGCTGGCACAGAGCAGGGGGCTAGGGCTATTCAAATTTTCTAGGACGGATTCTCTAGGACCCCAGGCACAAAACTGCTCTGACGTGTCACCTCCCACCCCCAGAAGACCTTTGATTCTTCAGGTACCTCAGGTAGGGTGCCTTGTGAGAGTAGAGGCTGAGTATCCCCATGAGGTTAGACTTCTCAGGGAAGGGACCTGCGGTTCGCCTTATCCTCTCTTATCTGGTTAGATATCCTCTGAACTCTGTCAGAGGCCTCCTAAAAAGGAAATGCGATGGGGCTAAGGAACTCTCTAGAAACCCCAGCCCTGCCCAAGAGGAATGGATAAAAAAGCATGGGTGCTGATGGGGGAAATGGTGGCAAAGAAGGAGTTTGCTGGAAGCGGGAATATAGGATCCCCATGAGAAGGATCCTCACAGTGAAGGCAGCACCCGTAGGAGGGGACCTCAGGGCACCGGCCGACAACCCTGTCCCTCCCCCACGAATCAAGAAACCAGGCAGCGAGGCTCTGGGGGCTGCTTTTATGGGGACGACCTGACAGAGGGCATGGTCCGTACAAAACCGGGAACAATACATACATATATATATTATATACAGAGACGCAGTCCTGCGGGGGGGCGGGGCAGGGGCGGTGCCGGCCGGAGAAACCGGAAGCACCCCGCGGCCCCGCCCACCCGGCCCCCGCCCCCTCCATCTGCGGCGGCGAAGGCGGCGAAGCGCGTGGGCCCGAGCACTGAGACAGCCAGTTTTTTCAGGGGGTAGGGGCACGTCTGGGGGCGGAGGGGGGGGGCGAGAAATACTGATCGATGGCGTGGTCTATGTACAGGGGACGGGAAGCCCAAACGATGTGATGGGGGCTGTCTGTTTTTAAAAAATGAACAAAAATCCAGTCTGGGGCAGGGGCAGGAGGAAGAGGCAAAATGAGAGATGGATCCTGAAAGGGGAGGGGACCTGGGGGGGGCGGGCCTCACCTCCCTTGGTCCAAGCCCCAATTTGGGGTTAAAGTGGGGAAATGGAGCGGATTTCACTTAGAAAGCAGGCTGCCAGCAGGGCAGCCCTGGTCTCCAAAAAGATGAGTAGTAAAATTTTGCCCTCCAGTCAAAACCTTGGAAAATTGTGGGTGTGGGCGGAGTGAGGCTGAATTTGCCATGTTAGTACAAGGCTTCCAGGTGTGGCCCTGGGCAGGGCAGGGCCTGGCTCTCCAGTGGGAAATGTTCCCCTTGCCTAAGACCAGGGGCTCTGTAGCCAGGCCCCCTAAGCTGACCTCTCCTCCCTGGCATTCCCAGGCTTGGCCAGGAAACCTGGAGCCCAGAGAGGCCACAGAACAGTTCTAGGAGGAGGTTATGGCTATTTGGCACCTGGGGGTGGGGAGGCACAAGGAAAAATTGAGGGCTGCTGCCCCAGGAAAGGGGGAGCTGGGGACCAGGTGTCCTGGACTCTCCCCTTTTCCCGAAGGATGCATGAGAAATCAGTGCAGGGCCAGGCCCAGCCTCCAGGCTCAGGGGTAGACTCTGTCCCTCCTGGGTGGGGGGACCAGGATGGGAGGAGGTGTGGAGGCAGCCCCTCCCAGCAGGAGGGTCAGAATGCAACAGAGACAGCACAATGATGGGGGACAGGGAAAGGGCCAAGAAGGTAGAATCTCAAGTCAAAAGGCCCAGGGGCCGCCTAGGAGCCCCGTGGGCAGGGAGCAGCCTCCAGGTGGTGAGATGCTGGGAGAGCCCCCAGCCCCATTCCAGTCCAGAGACAAAGGCTGGAGGTTGTAAAGTCTGGCAGTATGGTCTGCAGGTCCTTGTGTCCATCCACCACCCAGGCCAACCATCGGCATCCCTTGGCCTCTGTGCCTCAGCCCCATAGGGCAAGAAGGAGGCCGTCCTTCCAGCCACCTCTGTCTGCCCAGGCCCTCTGGTCCCTGAAGCTGGGGGAGGCGGGGCGGAGG